GGTTGATGAGAGGGGTGGTTTTTTTGTTTAATGACTGTAATATTGGATCGTCTTATGCCAAAACCAAACGGAGTAGGCCGGAATAGAGGTCACCACGGGCTCCATAGTTTTTCCACTGCTTCTTTGAGTGAGGGAGGACCATTTATAAACAGTCTCGTCTTTCGGGTTGTGAGAGAAATTTTATAATGTTATAGACTAGCTAGGTGTGTTATTTGTATTCTTTCAAGAAACTCCTAAAGTTATGTACAGTACTGAATTTATGTGTGTGTCCTCAGGTGGTGTTTGGCTGGCCGGGTAGTGATGCATATAATTGAAGTTTTTCATTCTTTTCAATCCAATCTAATGCAATTCAACTTCTTGTATTATGTTAGGAAATGATACATTTCAAACCAATCCTATGTTTGACATATGAATTTAAATTTTTATGGGTCTCACGGAGTACCTAATGATTTGAAATCTTTTTTTAATTGAATTTTACTATTATATCTCTAGAGGGCCTAGCCAGTTTAATGTTTTGAAAAATAAAGGGTACACAATAGTTTTTTTGCCAAAAAAACCATTGACCACAAATTTTATCCACCCCCTAGATGGGTTAGAAAAAAGCTACCTACAATGGGTAAATGTCACCATTTAAATTGGCCCCTGGATAGGTTCAAATGAGATATTCCAACACCATATTTGCTTTCCAAACACGGGATAAGGAAGATCTAACTCAATTATATCCAATCTAACATATTTTAACTCTCTTTATTTCGCTATCCAAACATCATCTCAGATAATATTATTTAGTAAATCATCTGTATTTTTTGGGGGGAAACAAATAAATCAGACCACAGGTTATATCTAACCTTTCTTGTCATTGTCTCTATTTGATTAGTAAAGGGGTCACTGTAAAGTGTGTAGTGTCTTACTGTGATGTTAGTGTCCGAGGTTCGTCAAAGAAACAACTCGATCCCTTAATCAAAAGGAGGAAACAACTACATAAATCAAAGGCATTCATGTCGGAAACTGTCTTCCATGTCTGGATGCAAAGCCAATTAATTAGGTGCTTTGTTAGCTAATTTTTAGGTTTGCTTTTAGTAAACTGTCTTGTCAGTTTTTTTTTTTTTATTGCTAAATTTTGATGGTTGCTAGGCTGGTGCGCAAAAAGGATATATGGGGAATTTTTAGTTTCCTTTCTTCCTTTGCTTTCTGGTTGCTTTTCGTAGAATCACAATGTTTTTGTCTAATAGCATAAGGAGAACTTAGGCCTTCACATGTTCTTGAGCTGCCCTACAATAAGTCATCAGCAATTTTTACAGACCATCAAAACACCTACCTACCAGATACAATCGTCTTTTTCTTGAAACATTTGTCCTCCTAACATCTCGGGATGCGGGCGAAGTTTATTATATTTGGTCCTTGTGAGTCTTATTTTCTTTGGATAGTTGGTGTTTTTGAGCTATTTACTTATAGAATTGTTTGGAATGTCACTTGGTGTGTTTTGACTTTGGAGTTATATGTTGGACATTTTTCGAAAATAAAATTATTTGTATAATTCTATAAAACATTGTAAGTGTTTTTGAGCTATTTACTTATAGAGAATTGTTTGGCATGTCAATTGGATGTGTTTTGAGTTATGTATTGTACATTTTTTGAAAATGAAACTATTTGGATAATTCTCTAAAGCATCATAGCTAAGGACTCTCTAAAGTCATTACCAATCTAATCTACCTTCCAAAATCACAAAAGTATTGACCCAATTTATCAAAGAAAACTTTATACTCCGTTTAGTAGAAAGGATAAAAAATATGAATGATGAAAAGTAGAAGGAATACACTTTCTAACCTTCAAGGATGAAAAATAGGAATGATAAATTTCCTTCTTTTGTGTTTAGCTGGATGGATAAAAAATAAAAATGACCAATTTTTTTTTGTGCTGATTAAGATTAGGGGTGAAAATCGAATCGTGTCGTGTCAGATTCGTGTTGAGTCATAAAATTATGAGTCTTTTATATTTTTTGTTCGCGTGTCAAGTTATTTTCAAGTTCGTGTTGAGTTATAATCAAATTTGTGTCGTAAAATTCGTGTCGAATTCGAGTGGTGTCACCGTATTGAATCTAAAATTTTCACCCTCAGTTAAGATGAAAAAAATATTTTTTTATTTTATTTTTAATTTTTAATATATATATATATATATATATATATATACATATTTTATTTTATATTTATATGAAATTAATGTATACATAATATATAGACAAATAAGATACATCTCAACACAAATATTTAATTTTTTATCTACTTTTTTGAAGGAATTGATTTTGGTGAGTTGAAAGGAAAGTTAATCCATCCACTTTTCTATCTTTCCTATTTTTCTTCCTTACCAAACATGTTATTTTATTTATCCCTCTAACTTTCTATCCTTTCAATTTTTCATCTTTCTATTTTTTCATCGTACCAAATAGAACATAAGAATTAAACAACAATATTAGCAAAAAGCATATTACTTAAAAAATAACACATAGTTTCCTAAAAAAATGAAAAATAAGACCTACTTTAGTTCCCATTAGTAGGGGCATGGGAGAGGTAGTACTTAGCCTAAGCCGTTCCCCACGTTCATGTTCTTGGGCACATGCATATAGTCAACAATAACATGGGAATCGACCAAAATTCTCACCTCTATTTTTTATTTTATTGTTATTTTTTTTTATTTACTTCAATATTATTTCATTGGTCTCCCTTACTGCCGAGACCTACCAAACTCCTCACATGCAAAAAAGAACGCACCATCCATTTGCTATTAGCCGCATATCATGGAGATCACATATATGAACAGATTTTATTCAATGACTTGATTTCCTTATACATATTGTATATAAGCACATCTCTCTCTCTCTCTCTCTCTCACACACACACACACATATATACATAAGAATACATATGCATACGATTGCATACAGGCAATGTTTTGGTCTTCCTCTCCAATTAGAAATCGTTATGAAGAATACAAAGCAAAAAAAAAACTCAATGGAGAAAAAGATCAAATTAAGGAAAGAAGCTTATATAATAAATCTCTAGGTTCAGGCAGCCGAAGCATGGCAATTATTCTAACCCTTTACTCAATTTCTCATTCTAAATGATGTGTCGTGTTTACATCAATAAGAACCATTAACATTTAACGATGGTGAAAGTAACAGATAATTTGAGATGCGAAAGTGTTCTCACTGTCTGACCATTCCTTCACTAAGTGTAGGCAGGGAGCAGCAATACATGAAGCTTATATTCAGATGTTCAGCACTATCAGCCAATAAAAACAATGCATTCTCTGTAATCTTTGCATGTCATTATCTGTATACTTTTTCCACATCATTTTTGATTATATTATACAATTGTATGTGTATGGTGGGAATTATTAACTATGAATTAGACTGTTTTAACTTAAGAACATTTCAACCAGGCTAGTATTTTGCGCCCGATTTTGTTGCCATATAGAGTGACTTTTTATTTGAGAACTATCTTGCAATTGCCATGTGGCAGCAAAACCGTGTAAACTTTTGAAGCACTAATTGACCCTAGAAATTCCAAGGAGTTGAACTTTAAAATCACTGGGAATCAAATCTACCGCTCGCGTAACTAACTAGTGACGCTTCTAACCACAAATACTTTCTAACTTGCCTTCTTTCTGTCATATTAGCTAACAAAGATGGAAAGCTATGGTTTTCCACGGCTTTGTCGCACTCCAAGAAAGGACAAACCCTAATGCAAAACTGAAAAGTCCTTTAACTCAATTTGAGTCTCAACTTCAAGGATGGTAATCTTTGATATAAGGCGTGATGTCAATTTTATCGGTTAACATGAATTTGATCCGGCACAAAATTTGAAAATAACACGAGTAATAAATAGGTCAAATTAATATTCAACTCAAATAACACGATTAATGGATACTGTAAATAGAAAATAATTATTTAACAAGTATTGTAGACAGAAAATAAAAATTTTATAATTTTTATAACTTTTTAAATAGTATAATATGAGTTGTTGTCGAATTAAATAATTTTTTACTAACACGAACCTGACACGTACTGATAGTATAATATGAGTTGATACAAAATTAGTAAATTAGTGTTATTTTTAGCAAGATCTTAAAAACTACGCAACCTATTGATGTAAATAATGAGTAAGTCATCTTAGTATAAAAAATAGACAATCTTATTTTGACAAGACAGACCTGTCTAAAAAATACCGTGCGAGGAAATGCATATATTTTTTTCTTCTTGTTCATGAAGTATTGTAAGAGCCCTTGGAGAATAAAGTGAATTTTTATTTGATTTTGCTACAATACAAATAATTTATTTTCAGTTAATGGGGACACGTAAATGATGTTTTTAAGAGAGAAGAAAATGAATTATGTAAGTCAACTCGAAGTGACACCATAACACTCAAAAATATCTTACACAATTAATTGAATACTTCAATATATGATTAACTAGTACTACTACTCAATACGACCTAAAATGCGACCCCAAGCAGACCCTGCTTGTTTAACGGCTTAAACGGCGCCAGCCACTCCCACAGCATGAAAAGGTCGGTTGACAAACTATTAATATATGTTATAGAAGCCGGCCAGCGTCGGCAACATGCATTCGTCACCGTCTAGCCGTTGATTCCGCTGGGGGGGGGAGCATTGTAGATACTATATCCTAATCAAATAATGATATTAATGCTTACATAAGTTGCATATGAACTCCCAATCACGTGTTGCTGGTAAATTAGAAGCAGCTAATTTAATAAGTACCAAACCCACAATTAATTACATTATGTAATAATTAATTTGAATAATTCAAAAAGGATTTTATAGAAAAACTCAACGGATTAAAATTGAAGCGGAAGACACTACAAATCCACATGGATCGAGTGCACTCTTTACATAAAAAAAAAAATTGATACATAGAAAGAGAAACTCAATATTGGAATATCGAGAAAAAAAATTTCAAATAGACAAGAGTCGGTCACATTGGACTATCGTTCATTCGATTCACGATCATGAAACGATAGCCGAAAAACCCACTTGGTGAGTGACTTTCTTCTTGAGTTTCTGTTTTTTTGGTGATGATTCTGACTATTAGAAGTAATGGTGGAATCAACAAAGGACTTTATACGTTCCATTGCAAGGTTTAGGGTTTCTTGGGACATATTGGCGAAGCATACACGAAACCAGCCAGGTTCAGTGCAGTGGCATGAAGATCCAGGGGAAATATTTAAGCCAACATTGTAAACAATTTTCTGCCACAGTTCAATCTCTGCCTCAAATGTTTGTGAACTCAGTAGGTGCCTCATGTCCACCCAACAAAACAGACCAGCATTGCTCTTGAGACACCTGATTCCGGCGTTTTGAAGGCCGGAAATTAGCATTTCATGCCGTTGTTTGAGCCTTTTCTGATTTTCAGAAATGTAGTTCCTTGTGAATTTCTTGTCAGAGAGCATAGCAGAGAGAAGGTACTGAGTTTGTGAAGAAACCAATCCAAAGCTTGACATTTTTGTTGCTGCGGCCACTACCATCTCATCATTGGAATAAACTGCACCAACTCGAAAACCGGGAAGACCGAGGTCCTTCGAAAGGCTATAAACGATATGAACTCGATTCCAAACTTCGGTGTTTATGAGGTTTCTCTCGATTAGAACCTCCATAACGCTAACGAAGCTTGGAGAGCTAAAAACGGTACCTGAATATATCTCATCACTTATAAGATGAATGCCTTTTGCAGCAATGAAGCTAACGAGGAGGTTAAGCTCATGTCGGCTCGTTGTTGTGCCTAGTGGATTTGATGGGTTGGTGACCAACACACCTTTGACTTTGAGATTGCGTTTTTGTGCTTGTTGGTAAGCTTCTTCAAGAGCTGACTCAGTTATTCGGAATCCATTCGAGCTAGTGCACTTTATGGGTACAATCTCCACCCCAGTTCGCCACTTGAGATCTCTATCAAATCTATAAGAATATTTATAAAAATTACATCAGTAAAAGCAACAAAGGACTTGTAATGTAGTAAATTTTTATTTTATATTTTTTGTGACAACATTGATAAATTACTATTACAATGAATAAACATCGTGAAATAAAAAAAAATACGTACCCTGGATAGTATGGGGTGGGAAGGAGAAAAGCCTCGGCCGGTTCAGCGAGACAAAACATAAGAGTCTCGTTGGCAGAAGTTGCACCAGCAGCGAGGACAAGCTTGTTGGCGTCAAAGCTTACTTTGTTGCCTCTTATTTCCGCCATGAATTGTACCAATGCCTGGACATAATGTTCAAGACAAAAGGTCAGTATCACACAGAAGATATATAATCGGACATTTGAGAATACTTTTTTTTGTACATTATTCACTGCTAAAACAACCAATGCTTACATTCTTGAAAGCAGGCAAGCCATGATAATCTTGGAAGAGAGCAAGCTCTCTGAATATGGACTCTCCGTCTCGCTTGAACCCAGCCGCATCTGGGTTGTTTTGAAACCATGACTCAAGAAGATCAAAGGAGAGCTGCAAGAAATGTTGAAATAAACATCAATACTGGAAACTATAATTGAATAGGAGTACACTTATTGAACCAAAAAACAAAGAATATTAAGTATAGTTTGTAATATTAAATGTTTTATACCTGATTTTCTGCGAGACCCATCTGAATAATTCCTGTTGGATTCCGAAGCTCATGATATGGGTTCTTCTCGTACTCCTCCCATCCTAGGAAGTATGAAGAATCTTGTCCATGCGAGTTGCACAAGGCTTTTTTGGAGAGCATTTTCATTTTGGTCCCTCAAATATTTGAGATTCAAGAGCTAGCTAGCTACAAGAAGCTTTGAACAAATGTGCCAAAAAGAGGAATTCAGAGAGATAAAGAGAGAGTAGAGAACACTAGAACTCTTGGAGAGGGATTGATTGCAGTGGAGGTTAGCCATGAAGATCGTTTATATAGGAGTTTTAGCACTTAAGGAATAGCAGGTCAGCATGGCCCAAGATGCTTTGACCAGATTAATATTTTATTTTCATAATCTCACTTGCTTAATATTTCTCTAATATTGTCACATTTACGCTAATCCAACGCGCATTGCTATCGTTGTAATGCACTTCGACATTCAATTGGACCATGTGATTTGCGCATATTAAATGCGTGGAACATTTTCTTTATACAATGTTTTATAATAGAGTAATACTATTTGAACTTAAAAATTTGATCTAATTTATTGACATAATGATATGATTTTAATAAAACTATTAGATTAACATCAAGTTCTAATATTTTATGGACTCTACGGTCAATCTAAATGTCATAGTAATTGGTTGGTAACTGGAAAAGCAAATAAAAACAAAGAAATTAAGATAAAGCAAGATTGTGGTTTGTTCAGAAGCTGAAACCTATGCCGACGGCAAAATCAGGACACAAATGGCTAAAAGGGGGCCCACAAAGCCCACTCAAAGTTGGACCAGCGACCGTGCACTGGTCCATATGCGTCCCCGGCCTCAGTGACCCATCTGTTACTCCATGTCGGCCATTCTCTCTCTCTCTCTCTCTCTCTATCCTCCCCCATTAGCTTTAGTTTTCACCTTAATTAATCCTTGTTTGAAGTCAACCTTTAGCTTAGTTAGCACTGCGCGGGCCAGCAATATTGACTCTTCGGTTTAAATCAACAAATCACATGACATTGTGGGGTTTAGGTTTGTAATAATTAATTGAGTCCTAAAAATTGTATTCGATGACATTCTATTGTTTCTATTTTTAACATTATTTTTCTATGTTTATATTTTTTAGAAATAAAATATATATGAGCATTATTATTAGTAAAAGATACTCATACGTTTCATCATAAGTCGAGCCCTGATTTGACTTTAGAAAGGTCTAGGCCTCACCGACACCAAGAAAAAACTTTTTAGGTCGAGAAAATTTGAGAAACGAATATCCTATTAATTATTGCTTAGAAGTAAAAATTTGGCCAGCCAGTAGTATTGGCCACCTGATTTGTAAGTGTCCTAGTCTAAATGAGTTGGTTATGAATCATAACCACAGTACCTGGGCGGTAAAAGCAAAAGATATCAAACTTAGCTTGTAAGTCATCAAAAATTCAGAAAAAGAAAAAAAACTTTTTGTAGTAATAAAAGTGGTTAACAAGGACTGATGAACACTATTAAAATAAGCCTAGCTAGTGGAACAATATAGCGTGGTAGGTGATAGTGGTGACAAAGTGCTACCAGATTTGGAGGCCTGTTCTTTACTTTCTGTGATACTGTATCTCCTACTTTCTGCTGATTAGGAATGTGATTCAAAGGGGGAAAAAAAAAAAGTGAGATACAGCTCATGATGGCATATGTTCCATAAAAATTAAAAAATAAAAAATAAAAATCTGAAAAGTTGATAAATTTTAACTCAAAATGTAATAATAACTTCCACTCAAAATATTGTAGGTGAACTTAAGAAATGAATACACTTTAAAAATTGATAAATTTTATCCAAAAAATGATAAGTGGTATCGTACCAAAACTTCTTTTTAGTACCGTAGCCAAACCCGGTATTTGGGGTTTAGTTGTAGTAACTATCATGAAGAAACAAGACCAAAATAGGTTAGGCCACCTTGCGTTCATAATATACTTTTGCTTATTTTAGTGGGCACCGTGTTGAATATATGAGAACCTGCACTTGCTCGAATAAACCCCTAAACAACGCCATATGGACCATCTATCTCTCTCTCTCTCTCTCTCTCTCTCTCATGTGTGTTGTGTTTGTGCGTGTGCGAGCTCTTGAGTCTTGACTTGTACAGGTTAATGAGTAGTTGACATGGAGTAATGATGTATTATGTCGACATTAAAGAATGATATAGTTGATGGACACAGTTGAAATTCCAGATTATTGGCTCAAATATTAGACTGCAAGCGATAGAATGGGCTGTTTGTGTGCTGGTGTGTGTGTGCGCGCAGAAGCATGAGAAAGAGAAAAATATGTATGTGTGACAGAGAAAGAGATCAAGGGAGGGAGAGATTTGGGCGCGTATGCGTGCATGGTGTGTGTTGCAAGTAGAGAGAGAAAGAGAGAGTTCATTTTCCATGGGTTTGGATTTTAGATCTCAATATCATAGTCATCAAGTAAATGTTCAACGCTAAGATTATACTATGTTATTATTAACACGTGCAAGTAGTATCTTTAATTAATTATAAATAACTGGAAATAGTGAATCTCACTGATCCAAAGTGATAGTTACTAGATGTTCAAGTTATTAGCGGTTGTGAAATTTGGTGATATCCATTTGTTCAATATATTTAGTTATAATTAGTTGATAATATCACTTGTCGATAACCCTTCTTTGGAGAGTCCAATTTGCCCAAGCTATTTTTGGCAATGACCCACTGGTCACCAATTAATCATAAAATTTCCCAAATTTCTTTTTTTGGAATGGAAAAAATACAATAAGCGACAATGAATTTGTCACAAAAAAGAGCGGAATTGGTGCTTAAATTGGTGAGAATTATTTAGCACCAACTTTTAGTGATAAATGAATTACTCATCGCCAAAATTATAATTAATGTGTAGAGCATGAAATTTCGCATTAAAATCATATATCACCTATGAAAATCAATGTTAATCAAAATTAAAGAATGCGACATTCGAATACGAAGTCAAAGTTAAAAAAATTCTCTTAGATTATGCTAATGTCCATACTTGAAAGAGGTGACAAATACTAAATATAGTCGTAAAAACAATGAAAAATCACTAGAAACTTTTTTTTTTTTTGTAGTGACTCTAGAACTTCAAAGAATGGACCCTCTTCGGTGTCTTAGGTCCCTCGTCAATAACTTCATCTTTTTTAAACAAGGTTTAATGGGAGAATTAATAATGGTAGGTTGTCAATAATCGTCGTTAAATCAATTCATTTTTGTTAAGGCAATGAAATGTTGAAGTGAAATGATCATGGATTAGGCGGGGAAGATAATTTCTTAAAAACTTAATCACGTATTAATCAATTACCATAAATCCATATGTGGATGCTCATGAAATATCTACAATCCGTGTTTTAGTGTGTCGAAGTTCTTCCCAACCACGCAGCAAAGAGGTTGTAATATGGCCAGACACCTTTGATTGATTTAATTCATCACAATTTGGCTTAATTCAACATGAAGCTGGGTCAAGGGACAAGTAATTAAATCATGCAAAATTGTGATCACAAGAGAGAGAGTTTATTTACGTAACCACATTGGTGCATTGCCAATACATACCGTTTTTCTCAGCCATATGGCCAGACAGGTTTGATTGATTTAATTTGTGACAGTTTTGATTAATTATATGAAGCCTAATCAAGGGACAAGTAATGACACCATGTATGGGGAACTTGAACTCCTAGGATTGCTCTTTGTATAGTGAAGTTACAGATAAATGCATTTATCAAAAAAAAAATCGGTCGCTCGGTTCCACTTACTTTCACATTATATTCAATGATGGTTCACATATCACATCATTTAGTATATGAAATTTGATAAATATATTTCTTTCAACAATGCTAACAACACCACCAAAAAAATAAATTATAGTTGCCCACTGATTTGATCATAGGTGAAATTCAATCCTGACGTGAAGCAAAGGAATTGGAAACCAACTATAAGTTAGGCTCCTTTTACCACTTGGAAGCGAGAAAGTGAGTAGTTAGTTAATAAAGTATTTGAGTAGGTGCAAGTTTAGACCCTTATATTTATATTATAAACAAACGAGAAAACACCCAAAAAAAAAATGGAGAAAAAGCTCAAAAGATGAAAAGAACATATAGAAACCTTGAAGAGGAGAGAGGATAAATGGTTAATCCACTAATCTCATAATTAATAGAATCGTGAGAGAATCAACGGGGATGAGAGGAATTGTCTTAGAACCTTAGAGAGAGTAATTGAATGATTGAGAGGGGGAGGGCCACGTGGTTTGTATCAGAAGAAGGGTCATTAGGGCATGTGGGAAGCCTTGTTTAAGAGCCCCCACCATACCCTTTGAAAGCATTTATATGTAGAGTTAGAAGGACCAGAAAACACCTAGTCCAATGGTGACAACTAACATGACTCTCATGTTATACTCCATGCCTCTCAATCTTCCGAGGAGACACGGTCATATGGACCATTTGCCCTCCTCTCTGCAATCAAGTAGGCCCCTTACTTACCCTCTTGCCCCCCTTCTTTATAGTTCAAATCCATCTCACATCGATCGGTGAAATATTTATGAATGTATTTGATAAAGTACGAGTTTCATGTTTTTATGGAGTGATAAGATTTAAAATTATGCAAACCTAGTGTAACATAAACAGTATCATAAAATGCACGACTTGAGCAATATTTTCTAGTTAAGAGTAATACTAACTAATTGGTATATTATTTTGTAGTCACGGTTGCCTTTTTCACACATAATTAGCTAATATTTCTACCATTTGGGGTAAGAGTTTCAAAGCAAAGTGTAATTCAAAAAAATATACCAAGTAATGCTTGTGAATAATAATAACATACAAAAAGAAGGAAAAAAAGCTATAGTCAGGGCTATAATTTGTCGAAAAAGACGCACACTCAATATGATTTGAAATTAGGGTTATAATTTGTAATAAAAAAGTTCAAGTGATCTGGGTCTTGATTTGGTACCAAGCAACTGCGGATTTTGGGATGCCGTGGGTGCGTACAAACCCGATAGCCATGGAATCTTGACATTACACCCTCTCTCTCTCTCTCTCTCTCTCTCTCTCTCAGGAGTAATACTAGAGGCATGTATATGCAGCCAAGTCAATGAAAGCTGCACATTCTGACCAAAAAAAAACTAAAGCTAAACATACCAACTTAACCATATCACTTGAAACACAACGCATAAATGCAGGCCACAGACAGAGAGTGACGCTCAAAGTCGTCTTCTGAAAACGGAATTTAAGTTGTTAATTTCACCGTTGACTTCCAAGGAATTTGATTCTCCACTCCAAGAACTTCAACACTTTGATACCTGTGGTCTCAATATAATAGCCACACAATTTTAGTATTTCTCATCAGTATAACGAATGATTCAAGGGGAAAGTTCTTTGAAATTGTCTAACCCTAATTGTTAAAAAATTTCAAGTGTTAAACCCAAAATTTAACCTACACATAAGAGTATCTATTGAAGTATAAATGTTGAAATTACACATTCCCTCATAACTTAAGCTTTTAAACTTAAGTTACACATTCTTTCGTAACTTAAATTTTGAAAGTAAATAGTGGTATAACAGACATACATAAACACAAATAGTTTTGCATGGAGAGTGCAAGGGTGTCATACATATACACAAGTTTCATTATCCTAATCATTGCTTTTTACCAAATCCAAATAGATTTAGTGAGACTTTGAGAATATGCAAAACTCACACGGAAGGGTCAGAGCTTTGTTGACAACTAAACTTAAGTTTGCTATGTATATTAGTTTAATGGAGAGAGAATAAGAATATTGTAACAAAAGTAATCTTTTGTGTGGTTAGTAACAAGTTTTTGGAAAAACATACCAGGACGTAAAGCTTAGAAAAATCTGGGATTATTATTATGGTCATCATTCTTGATTTGACGTGACTCCATAATAGAGTGAAGAAATCAATACAAGAATTTGATTATTCATTTCACAACTGCGATTGATTCAATATGGCAAATTTGGGACATAGATTGTGATGTAGTGATGCTCATCTTTTCTTTTTTCTCTCTTGTGAGTCTACACTTTCTAACTTGGGGCATAATTTGGACATGTCAACTCAAACTCAATCTTTGTCCAACCTTAATTATTAATTAATGAGGTAGAGAATTTTACTATCCGATTGGGTATAGACAAAAAAATCTCAATTGCATTAAATTCAAGCAATACTCGAATTCGGATTAGAATTTTTTAGAATCAATCCGTACCCACCCTAAATCACAATCTAAGTTGTATACCCCAATCATTAAATCTAAATAGAACTCGATTTTTAATTCAAAAAAGGACCCAATAATTCCATCAAAATTATAGTTTGAAATTTGTAAATTTGGTTGAAGAGTTCAATTTAAATTTATATTTGGGTTGAACTCGGATCAGATTGAAAATTTAACCAGCTCAATCTTCCCTAGTAACACATCAAACTAAACTGAAGTGTCATCAAAATTGTTCATAAGAGTCAACGATGACAACAATAAAATCATCAATTAAAATAGAATACCTGCACTCAATGCCACTATCGAAGTCGACACTAAGAAAGGGATTTCCAGTGACTGTGATCAATAACGTACATTTCATAATGTAGAATTAGAACCAAAAATATTGAGCAGTAACCTCGTTACCTAACTGATTAAGTTTTCAACTTAAAACTAATGGAAAATTACTTGAGAAGCTTCAAGTTGTGCATGGGATACTATCATTTATGATTTGAGGACCCATGCAAGCTAGTCCTAGTCCTTCGTGTATCTTTCAAACCAGTTAATATTTTGTCCACACGTATCTATGGCATTTCTCACAGGCAAACAGTCAAGCATGGCGTGTAGTAGACTCACACGTCAAAAGATCTGTCCAATGAGCCCCGCGGTTCCTAATTATTTGCTCTACCAATCCATATCACAGAGTCCCAACTTAGCCATTCATATTTGTCCGTATTGCATGTTGGATGGGGACTTGTCCAGCCAAGCTTGAAAGTGATTACTTCTCGGGTGTGGGATGCAACACAATCATCTGGGTGTTTTGCTGGAGTGCAAATGAACGTACTGATCGTGAACAGTTTGAGATTGGCTCGCATTAAAGTTCGTTCATTCATCAAACAAACTGAGCATGAGCTCAATTTTAAAACCCGTTAAAGTGAATCAGTTGAACATAGCAATTGCTTATTCAGCTTGTTAGGGTCATCAACGCATCAAGCTTGATATTGCTCCTCATATACCACCATACAAAAAATGTATTGATCAAACACATCAAGCTTGATATTGCTCCTCATTTGTCACCTAACATTCTCATCTCTTTTCTCTGCTCTAGAGATAGACTAGACTTATTGTTGTACACAAAAAAAATAAAAATTGTTTGACTAGAACCGAGCAAAATTCAAAACTAAATTATATCTGAATAGGAGTTCCTAGGCCCATTTCAATAAGTATCCAATGTTTCATACACTTCTAGAATGGCAAATGATAATTTAGAAAACAATATAAAGTTGATAATGATTCAATGATTTTTCATCATTTGGTGAGGGCCAATGAGTTCCAATTTATATGGGGGCAGATACTTATTGATGTTTCTCACACAGAGACCATACCCTCTGGTGATCGGACCCAATGTGTATTACAATCTCTAAGCATCTTTTTCATCTTGTTGCTCCTAGGGAGGCACTTTCAGCTATCATCCTGGCAGTGACCACCATTGAAATGGTACATCGATCAGAGACCTGTTATAATAAAGAATTAGGCCCAATACAGGCCTGTTTGGGGGCAAATATATCATCAAAACTCTCAAAATTTGATTGTCAGCAGTGATCTGGTGCTCCCACCACCATGTTCACATGCCCCCCCACCAGAACAAAAATAGAAATGAAAAGGGTGAAGCCAGTGCATTAGTAAGGTAATTATTTTGAACAATCAAACCAACAAAAAAAAAAAGGAAAAAAAAACCGATGCTGGAGTTGAACATTTGGCTGCATTGATGTGGCTGCAAGCTTGCTACTTAGCCTGCCCAATCTGAGTTTAATCCGAACTAATGATAGCATTGAAAGAGCGAGACAAAAAAGGATCGTTGCAAATTTCTTTCTTTTTCTAATAATACGAACCACCCCCTACCCCTCGCCTTTCGGATGCCACTCAAACCTTTGACTGTATTAGTTAGCAAATAAAACAATTGGAAAATATATTTCATTCATTAGAATTTTTTTCGGACATGGCTTCACTAGTTCATTGCAAGTCAATATTAAATTGTCTTAAGTCCTGGGCTTGGGCTAAGGTCTTTCAACTAGAGCTCTGCCAATGGTACTCGGGCCTAATATGTCACTGTCTGACTCTTACCTGAGGGATGGACTATGAAATCCACTAAATCTATACCGGTTAAGCCAACCTCAGTCTTGGGCGGTTGTGTACAGGTCGAAATGTTCGGCCCAATGAAAAATGTATCAGAACCAGGCTGGGCCTGCCGACATTGCGCACTGTTAGTTAAACTTTGGATTGTTTTAGGGAAATTACAATAAGGCCCCTGAGGAATGATTAAAATATACTACACCATCTGAGGTTCTAGAAATTAGTAAAACCACTTGCAAATTTGTTCGCCCACATTAGTTTTTTATGTTCCATCTTACCCTTCATATTTTTTAATTCTAATAAAATTTTGCCAAGTTATATTAAATCAAAAGAAAACATAGAGAGAGAGTTGGGGATGGTTTTTTTTCTTTTCTTTTTTTGATTTGTTTAATGTCATAATTTTGTTTTCTCAAATTTCGTAATTGTGATTACTACTTTTGAGGTAGTTTTGGTATTTTAATATAAACATGGATGATCTACAGTGTTGATTGTAATTTGATCTCAAACATAAGAAATATTTTTGTAAGTTTTAAAAGTTCAAGGGGTCGAATATTTTGTAATTAAATCTTTCGGGGTGCTGTTGTAATAATTTGCAACTAATTTCGTGGTATTGTATACCCAAACAACGCGCGTAAATGTCACCCCATACAACTGAATCAACATATTGCACTTAAATTCCAACACAAGCTCCTCCTCTCTCTCTCTCTCTGCGATCTTACAAGGAACGAAACGCGAGCAGATACAAGTAGATCTCAGATCTCGCCAGGCCTGCCTTTAGATCCAGAATGTGGTGGTCTCTCCACTCATCGATCTGAGGTTAGTCTTCTCTTTCCTTGCTCCAAAATTTATAATTCAGTATTTGCAATTTGATATCTCGAATTCGTACTATCAGTAATATTTCTGCAGATTTGTAACTAACATTGTCTTGCTTTACGTTTTCTATTGAAATTTTATCTTTTTTCGATTACGGCGAACGATTTTCGATCGGAAGTTGAGTAAAACCATCTTCGATCCGTAATTCCTCAATTAATTGTTGTTTGTTCGAGTTCTGAATAGCTAGTCTCTGCAATTTACCGCATTCCTACCGAGTGTGGACTATTTGAAAATATATTCAGCTTAAAGAGCGAAACGTTGGTACGATTACAATGCTAATTGTGGAGGTTATAAGCTAATGAGGTATGCTTGCCATCATTACTTGTTTCCGTTTCATTACGTATTTTCATGGAAAATCTTCATGTTCTTTGACGTAGCAGTGACCTTAAACAAGCCAAATTTCAAGTGTCCTGAAACATTTTCCAATTACGTCCTCTTAGAAAGTAGCATGCCACTAGACTTCTTCACCACTTTCAAACCGCCTGAGCTAGCACATGTGCATGTGTAGTTGCTAACATCTTGAATCCTGTATTGGCAATGCTTTTGTTTCTTTTCCCTTAGAGGAATTGTATTCAATTGGAACCTATGGAGACCCATTTTTTTTTAGTGTGATAATGGTGCTGCGTATCTTCTATCTTAAAACAGTTTCCCTCTTCACGATTAATAAGTTTTCTTGTAGAATTTTATTTTTACCAAATGCTCAGAAGTTTGTGTCTTATTGTATGAAGATCTGGCACACTTTATTTGTCTTGCAAAATATGTATTTTATCTAAACTAAGTTCTAAAAATGCTCCTAATGTCCTTTGTTAATTAATAAAGCAGTGATGCTACTAACTTTCTTATAATACCTTTGAATGTATAACTCGTATTCTAATAACCAAAACTACGAAAGACATTCTCAAAAAGATAATTATGCATTTATTCAAAAAAATGTTGATTATCCATCAGGGAACGAGGTTGGTTCCTTAAAACAATCACTGTGAAGATATGAGAAAACAATAACTATCTGGGAATAACTGTGCTTTTCTTTCATGGATGATATTGTGCTGATATATGACCATCTGTTGTTAATGTCACGATGCTTTCTTCCACGTCCTCGTAATTGGCGAAAAAGATTCATGATCTCCATCTTGTCTATTTGCTTAGGAGGGCTAAGTATATTATGCTTATTTCTCTTTGCAACAGAGTGATATCTTCCACGTCTTTTACGCACGTAGACATGTCAAGAAGGCCAGGAAATTATACACGCCGCTTCGTGGGGAATGGTGGAATTTTTCATCCAAAATCACGTGCCTCTCCTTTATTATACATTGTCCTTGTGTTTCTGGTACTTTTCATATTCTACACTCAACCTTTTGCATTTGAGTTATGTAGATAATTGTCATTTTGTTAAGAGACTTGTGTCTGCCAGCCTTGTTCTCCTTCACGTGGCACACATTATGGTCTTCCAGCTTATAGATATCATATAATGTGCTGCAACTTCATTCTTCAGTTACTGATCATTTGTTCGGTTGTGTGAAACTCAGGGGGTAATTCTTTTCATTGGCTATTTCTACAGAAGCTCAGGTATGTCTTTGGTTTGTTGAACATATGGAGAATTGTACATGATGAGGCCTTAATTTTGAATTAAATGGGCCAGTCATTGTTATCTGGCTTCAAGCTGTCATAATTGTAGGACAGCTTGCACATTTCTTCAGCGTACTTGTACTGCATTGTTTGCTTCGTCCTCAATTCCTGGTCTCCTTGTTTTCTACTTGACTGAAGTTTATTCGTTATCTTTTAATGCATGGACTGAATGGTTTGTTTTTATTCTGTGTGTATCAGGACGTGACAAAGCAGTGTTTAGTAGGATTGAAGGTAAAGTTGTTTAATTTCGTTTCAGATTGTTTTTAATAACGTGGGCTTTTTTTTTTTTTCTAACTTGGAGCTATCTCCATGTTCACCATTTTCATTTTTTTGGTCCAAAATTTCTGCGTTCAGAGAATCTTAAGAGCTTTTGCTAAACTTCAGATGTTGGTTTCCTTGCATTGCAAATGGTTTCTGGAATGGTTACCAGTACTGAATTTAAACTTCCCAAAATAAAGGCTAGGCATATGTTCAATACTAGTTGCCATTGCATTTGGCTAAGATGGAGCAGTTTATTTGAAAACTAATAATTCGACTTCTTCTATGTATTTAGGAGACTTCACATGCACATTAGAAGTTCAGAGAGCAATACCAATATTGAAGAAAGCCTATGGTGACAGTATGCATAAAGTCTTGCATGTCGGACCTGATACTTGTTCAGTGGTCTCTAAATTCTTGAAAGAAGAGGAAACTGAAGCATGGGGTGTGGAGCCCTATGACATAGAGGACGCTGATGGGAATTGCAAAAGTCTTGTTCGCAAAGGCATTGTACGTGTGGCAGATATCAAGTTCCCTCTGCCATATAGACCCAAGTCATTTTCTCTTGTCATAGTGTCGGATGCCCTGGATTACCTATCTCCAAGATACCTGAATAAGACTCTCCCAGATTTGGCAAGGGTGTCTACTGATGGTCTTGTTATCTTCACAGGTAATTTCTTAATAAGTTCGAATTACCCAACTTTGTTAAGTGATACAGACCATAGTCGCTTGGGGTTTTCAGTAATTTTTTCAAAATTTTACAAGTATCTCACATATCATTTGTAAGACTATTTTTTCCCAGTAATGATGCACGCTTACAAATCGTCTATATGATCTTCCCTCTCTCTGTGTCACCAATTAAGCATGAACATGGGCAGAGCGAAGAGGAAACCAGGGTATGGGTACACGTGCCCACCCTAGATTTTTTAAAAATACATTATCTATATATTTTTATGTTAATAATTTTTAGGTATATTTAAATGTGTTCACCCTACTATTTTCTTGTCCTATCAATTATTAAGGCCTAGAATGTAAATATAAATTTTTGCACACACTTCAAACACTATACATACATTTTTAGATAAGTTAATGATATGTTAGGCTCATTTTGTTATTATTTAAGCTATGGAACTTGGTTACATAATTAAATAAGTAATCAATAATGAACCACTTATAGGTTGATTGTATATATCCAAAAAAATTTAATGATATTAATAACTGAATTATCAAGTAATGCTTTCAAAGTAAGAATGATTGTTGGGATCAATTATAAGCAATTAACCTCATTTTTTGTTAAGTTTTAATTACTCTTTTTTTTGTTTATATATGTTATGTACATCGACATTTGACCCTTTTGTGTTTAATAAATATTAAAATATAAAATACAACATAATAAATATAACTATGTTGGTTTATTTTTATTCATTGCAAAGAAAAAATTAGAACTTTTAGCTACGGTGCCCACCTAAGACAAAATTTCTGGCTCCACCCCTGAATATAGTACTCTGCATGATTATTGACTTATTTCTACGTGGAAAAGACGCAATTTTATGCAGGCCCCCATTCTTCATTTTCACTCTGCCCTCTGTTAACAATATGATTGAAAAAATTAGTAATCACTGCTACTTAAAATTTTTGCTGCTACTTAAAATTTTTGCTGCAATTTTTTCATGTTTAGGTTATCCTGGTCATTCACGAGCTAAAGTTGCAGAGCTATCCAAATTTGGACGTCCCGTAAGCCACCATCCTCTGCTTGTAGAATTTAATTATCTTCTGCGTAACTATTTGAACTATGTAATACATTACAACATGATCTGGATCTGAGATAGGCCAGGGTTATTGGGTTGCTAGATTCTGAAGCTTTGAAGGTGCATTATTCTATCTTCATGTGATATTTCTCAAGGACTGTTATCGCAAATTTAATTTAGATGGCATGTGATTAGGTTGCCATAGAACGAGATATGTGCTAAGTCAACTCTCTCATTTGCTTTGAAAGATTGCATCCAAAGCTTCTGTGATAGGCAATTCCAATTGATGGTGTCGATAATGAATAATAGTAGTAGTCAGCCGCAAATTCAGTCTCAGTATGGATTTTGTATTAAGTACTTTAGGTGAAATAAGGTCTTGGTCTAAAAGGGAGAAAATGAATATAGTTGGAATAAGAGAAGGGGAAAAGGAAAGAAAATGCATTCCAAAGACCTCAGATACTTGAGGAAACGGGCAATACTTATAATAGCAACCTTTGCAGGAGTAGAGACTTTCCTGCACGGCCATAGTTTTGTCCAAATTATTGATTCTTTTCAAGTATTCATATCAAACAAAAACGGGTTCTCTTAACATGTTAGATGGGCAATCAGGAACCTTGGCGCCTATGCTTTATCCAGAGAACACATTTCTCAATACATGTTAAGTTAGTGAAGTAGAAGGGTCTGGGATACTGTTAATGGTTGCTTTGTCTCAGTTTTCAATAATTTTCATTGGTTTTTGGTAAGCGCTCTTTTTATTCTCACATCACTGCAACAGTTTGACCAATAAAATGACATTTTGAATGCTTCAAATGTGAAGGCCAAAATGCGGAGCTCGTCTTGGTGGGTACGGTTTTTTCTTCAGACCAGCTTAGAAGAAAATGAAGCAGCAATAAAAAAGTTTGAGCAGGCTGCAATCAAGAGTTCATTCCAGTCGAGGTGCCAAGTTTTCCACCTCAATTCATACCATTGATTATAAGATTCATAACAGTGATCTCTTCATTTGTTTTGGAGTTCCTCTATAAGAGTCAATATTTATTTAGCTCCCATACATAATGTGCCATGTGAGGCAATTCAATTTGGTGGAAGAAATATTTGTTACATCCTCTTATGTTGTCCTTAACATTATTACAATTTCTATTTATTAATGATAGTTGATGGTAATATGGCCTCAATTGTTTGCTTCTTCCTGAATCTTTGTACTTATAATCTTTCAATCTGCATGGTGCTATGTTAACCTAATGAATTGCTATCTATTATCAACCCGATTGACCCACGCTTTCCTAATGTTTATAACATGCATTATCATACTATAACTTAAAAGATTGTCCAAATGTCCCTCAGTTGCTGGCAGCCTGTGAAGGGCTTATTACCTTCACCGAAAAAACCCCTGAACAAACTCCTTTTTTTATTTCAAGAACTCATCTACACAGACAAAACCATAACAAGAATGGCATAAAACAACTGTGTGGCACAGAATCTCTGTAACAAGAGCACCAAAGCTCAATTGAATTATTTAAAATATAGTGGTGTATTTTAACTTGATGATAAGCATTTCTGTATGCAGGGTTTGTATTATGAAGATAGTATGCCAGCTAGTGGCATGAGTGTACTATTTGTGGGAGATTACCACAACCGAGAAGCTTGAAATGAGTTTCTCGCTGCAATGCTCCAAGTCACTGGCATCATGTCGTTCAGGACCTTGGCCTGTTCTTCCTGCCCTAAAAAAAATTGGGAGTTAAGAACATTCTCAATTAATCACCAGTAATCCCCACAAGAACATTTCCCTTCCTTGAAGCAATGGAATCTGTGGGCATCCCTGATGGTAATCTCCCTCCTAGTTATAGCAGATATAAATTTGATTGCATTGTGACAATCCCCACATATTCTCAGGTTCTTCACCACAAGTATAGGTTCAGCATCTTTAGTCGATAATAGTCCAAATGCAACTGCTAGCTTCTCACTGTGATGTGCTAACCTCATCTCCTTTTCTCCCCGCCTTGCTCCATCATCCCTAACTAAAGCCCATCTCACATCTGGCACATACCCTGCTTGCTTCATCTTCTTTGACATCTCTTCCCAGAATTCATAGATATCCTTAATCATCGGGTGTGAACTATCTTCTGCGACAAATACATGTACTTTCCTGTTCACCTCAATCCAACTACAACCTGGTTTCTTCTTCACTCCCTTATCTCTCATAAGTTTTCTAACTGTAGCTACTTCTTCCCATCTTCCAGCACTAGCATACATATTCGCCAGCATGACATATGGGGCTGCATTTGAAGGTTCCAGTTGAAGACACTGGTTAGCTGCCTTAACTGCTAGCTCTATGTTTCCATGTGTTTTACAGGCCCCAAGCAAGGATCCCCAACCAAAGGAACCAGGATTGTATGCCATTGATTCAATTAGCCTCTCTGCTTCCTTGAGTTTTCCTGATCGACCCAAAATGTCAATCATGCATGAATAGTGCTCTGCTTTTGGTTCTAATCCAAATTTCTCATTCATCATACTAAAATACTTTTCTCCTTCCTCGACTTTTCCGGTGTGTGCACACACAGAAAGGACGGAGATAAAAGTTATACTCGTAGGAGCATTGTCTGTTCGAAGCATCTGTTCAAAAAGAAGCAATGACTCCGTACCAACTCCATGTTGTGCATAACCTGCAATCATCGAATTTAAAGAGACAGTGTTATGCTCTGGCATCCTATCAAATAACCTCCTTGCATCTTGCAAGTTTCCGCATTTTGAGTACATTGCAATTAGAGCATTATTCACTGCAATCCTATTCGAGGGGATATCAGACTTAAGGGCCAAAGAGTGAAGCTGTTTCCCATGAGACGGGGATGACAAGCTAGAGCATGCACTAATGACACAAACAAAGCTGCAGTCATCAGGGCGGTGGCCAGCACGCTGCATCTGCCTGAAGCAAATGAGTGCCTCTTCAGAGAAATCCTCATTCTGGGAATACCCAGAAATCATTGTGTTCCAAAGAACCACATCTGGCTCCAGAATTTCTTGAAATACCTTCTTACAATCTAGCATACCACCACGACATTTTGAGTATAAATCAATCAAACCACTTCCAACATGAGAATTCTGATGGAACCCCATTTGAATCAACTGAGCATGAAACTGAAGCCCACCACACAAATCCTCTAAGCACGTGAACGCAGTCAAAACACTTGCCAAAGTGAACATGTCAACATAAAACTCTCTTCGAACCATTTCTTGATACAATGTCAATGCCTTCGAGCCTTGCCGGTGCTGCCCATATGCCACAATCATTGAATTCCAAGACACCTCATCTCTAATCATACCCATCCCATAAAATATCCGCTTGGCCTCATCTAAATATCCATTTTTGCTGTAATACGTAATCAGGGAATTATTCACTGAAACAAAAGAAGCAAACCCACCCGAAACTGCCACTGAATGCAGCTGACTTATCAAAGCAATATCATCCGAACAAGACGTGATGGCTGCAGAAAAAGTGAACCCATCCATGTCAAGACCCATTTTTTTCATTTCCACAAACAAGCGAAGTGCAGGCAAAGTATCACCGCGGTCGGCGTAAGATGCGATGAGAGTGTTGTAAGAGACGAGATCGGGTTGGGGAATTTTGTCGAACAGTTGGTGAGCAATATGGGGCTGCGATTCTTTGGCATAGGCTGCTATGATGGCATTGAAGGAGAAGACATTGGGATCTGGGGTCGTGTCGAAGGCTTTTCGGGCAGTGGTTAAGCGTCCACATTTGGCGTAGAGGAGGATCAAGTGATTGGAGACATAGGTGGAGATTGGGATGACAGACTTGATGTAGAGTGTGTGCAGCGATTTGCCTGTTAAAAGGTCTCTGTCGGCTATGCATGTCCTCAAAATTTGGCGGAAGTGTTGGAAAGTCCATGAGATTTGGCTCATCTAAGGGGTCCGAATCTAAAGCAAACGGCATTACCTAAGCTATTGCGAGCCTACTCTTCGTAAGGTTTTCTTTCGCAAGTACCTTTGGAAGTTTCGGATGGGGTACAGAATTTCATTTTAAATTGCACATTTTGCCATACCTTCCAATGTTATGACATTGTTTTTTCATTTAGCTAAAATTGACAAATTTCTCGTATATTAGACTAATTTTTTAACTTCTGGCAAATGATTTTATTGGTAAAACTATTTTTTTTTTTATTTTGATTCAACAAACAGGATGCGTGGCAAGCTTATGCACGCATCAATTAATCTCCTTCTCAATTTGGTCAAAAATAAGTTATTCACGCCAAGTTAAAGTATTCGTGAGAAATAAATTTCTCAAAACTTAACCGGAGTTGTCAAAATTCGAACTCAAAATATCTGAATTTACAGTTCATCCCTGTTATCATTTAAGGTAATCCGTGAGATTGTAAAACCATATTGACTGTGTTCTTCATACTTCTATAAAGAGTTGGACCAAGGTAATGAATGGTATGACTTCTAGGTTGGTTACCAAGTAAGTTTATAAGAACTGTAATTATCGATAGATGGATCGAATCTAGTGGCATTTCTTGCATGCATCATCATCATCATTCGATAGATCATAATCCATTGTTACACCGAAAAATCCCAGGAACAGAGACCATGCAAAAAATGTCATCCTCGTAGCAAGTAAATACACTGTTCAGTCCTCCAACGTCGATAATCACTCACAAGAAAGTTCCTAATTCATAGAGCAACTAACCCTCTGATGTTGATGTTCAGTAAGCCTACAATGTGCTTTACATGTACTCGCCACTGAAACAGGAAGTCCCTCATCAATTACACAAGCACTCACATCAACAAAAAGACCACTTCTGCTGATTTTGGAAGCCATACAAGCACGATGATGTCTATGACTAGGAAAGAACCAACCCTTCCAAAATTAGTCAGTCAGCAATTGGTAGAAGACATAACAGCAACGAGAAAAATCGATACACCGAGGTGAAGACAGTTTTGAGCTCCTTTGGATAATGTTTTTCCCTTTTCAAAGCAGGCACTTCACAACAACAGACCTAGATACCATGGGAGAGAGCTTCTCAAGAGTCGTTCATATCCATCCTTGAAACTAGGCTTTTGTACTTGCTCAGGGCGGTGCAACAAAGAGAAGAAAAACCTAATTTGGACGTCCTAATGTAGCCTTAAAACCATGCAAGCCCTGGCTAGTGTGACTGCCAATGAGAAGGTAACATATGCTTGCCACAAATATAGAGTTCTGATAATGCATGCTATAGTTCGACTGCTATGCCAGTATCTTCTGTGCGAGGGGGCCTCCATTTGCGATCAAATATACTCTTTTCCAGTACTTTCTGGCTCTTTAATCTCTCATCAATGTGCTCCAGCAACTCCTGTAAACCAACTCCCATTCTGGCAGATGTTTTGATATATGGAACAGATTCAGGTTGAGATTGTGAAACTTTTCCAATAATCCTCAAGTCCTTGGAGGAGTCTTTTTGTTGGTTATCTGGAGTCTCCGCTCCCACATACGAACCATCATGGTCACCCCATGTCTCTAGTCCATCTCCTGATGAGAGCCAGCCGTCAGAGTAATCATCTTGATGATCATCCATGGTCTCTTTGAGCTCTCCTGATGATAGCTCACACTTTATATCTCCATTATTGTCATCATCTTCTGCACTATAATCATCGTCTTCTGCACCTGAGAAACAGCTCACTTCATCTTCATCATATTCATTGCCCCTCATTTCCTCTTGGAGATCAATCTGAGCAGGTTTTGAAACAAAGAAAATTATGCCCAATGACTAACTTCCATCGTAGTCTACAGAGAGGTAACGAGTAATACCTTATTCCAAACTTCAATCATATTCTGAAGCTTCCCCTTGGATACTCCTATCTGCTCAAGAACTTGTAATACAGTTTGCCGTTGCTCATCAAGATTTGGCGCACTTGAGTCTAGTACATGCTGAAATGGATATCAATAAATTTTCCACACCGCTTTAAGATATGTGAAATCAGTTTAAATAAAGTAAACCAGAAAGAAAGGGGCACCATATACAACTGTGACCTAACTCACAGGCCTGGAAGCCACAGTACACGCTGAATTGCAGATCACACCGCAAAATATTTAAACACAAGCACAGAAAATGGCAAACCACAATTTCGTACCACAAGGAGGTCAGCTTCAACAACTTCTTCCAAGGTTGCCTGAAAAGCTTCCACTAACTGCAAAATGAGTGGCCTATGATCAAGAACCAATACAACAAAAACTTTAGGGGAAAAACAGTTGCACAAACTTTCAACTTACCTGCACAGGAAGATCTGAAATGAATCCCACTGTATCACTAAGAAGCACTTTCCTCCTGATCATTGAGAACTTAATCATATTATTTTAATCATCATAAGATATAGTTGTGCAAGACTTCCATTTAACTAAATTTTCATCACCACTGGGAACAAAAACTAAAAAAATTAGTACCCTGATGGAAGAATTACACTTCTTAATTTAGTGTCAACAGTTGCAAACAATCTGCACAAAAGGAAATTCCATGCTAAGGTGTAAACATTAGCCCAAAAAACAAATAATCAAGGTTAGATCAGAACCAAATAAGAGAGAGAGCGAGAGAGAGACATTTTTCAAACACAATGCAAATCTTAATTCAGATATTCTGTTCGAATCTAAATAACAGATAGTATGTGTAAAATGTCTTACCGATCATCGGAATATAGATAACTGTCCGAGAGTGTACTAACTAGTGTCGACTTTCCCTGGAAAAGAAATTAAGAGGTTCACATTATGCTATCTGTAGAGTATCAAATTTATGTGCAGTTTACTTAAAATTAGAGCACTTACAGCATTCGTGTAACCAACAACAGCAACTGTAACCATCTCTTGGCCCTGTGTACCTCCATGCCTCTTGCGAGCAGCACGTTGCAAAGCTCGCGTTCTCCGAACTTCTTTAATTTCATACAATAATTGATTCCGCCGTTCCAAAATTCTGAAATAAAATTGGTATTACAGCATGCATGTGCATGTATCCATGAGTCCCATCACTATGCTACAACATTAAATACAGAACACAGTGCTACAACAGAAGACCCAAAAAAATTACGTCATCCAGCCAAGAAGGCCTACAATAAAGACATAATAATATGGTTAATACCAAGTTCTCACTAAAAAAGGTATGTGATGTAAAGAAGTTGACAATCTCTGGCACTCATCTAGAGCACCCACCTACAACACAAAATGTTCTCAAAAATGGCACCAGATCTGCCTATGGCAAGTTGGCATTAGTTCTTCAAATGACCAACACACTTAACTAGCAAAAAGCTGTACAACATGTAACCATTTACAACAATACAACTTAGTACAATTTTAAGGAAAGGTTCAAGGAATTCTTAATCTAAAATAGATTCATTGACATGGCGAGAAATCATTCTGTCCAAGTGCCCTACTATACAAGTAGATAGGAGTTTGGATCCAATTAATTGTACTGAAACCCTAGTTAATATCCGAATCAAGCGGGTCATAGGATCCATTTTTCAGGGTTTTCAATTTAAAACTCTTAATTATTTTCAGTATGTTATGAAGTAATCAACTATCCTCATAAACTACGTAAATCTATGGTTTGTAATTGTAATTGCTTTAATCAGATAAATTTAAGTGGTTTGACCTGACTAAAATCAGGAATTCAAGTCTATTTTAGACGGTAACTGTTGGACCTCAACTCAATAATTCTCAACCTAAAATTATATCAAATCATATGCAGAGCAATTAAAAGCTTAACCCATTGACAGCCTATGATTCACCTTGAGGTGTGTTCACTACAAGAAGTTGAAGCAGGCATGCAAGGGCTCCATAATACTTTTGTGTACTCATAATTAAATCTTAATCGGGCTCAATGAGACATGTATAGTCTGAACTCTGAACCTTCATCACATTATTAAATTAGGAAGTATACATGCTACTGTCAGCTATACAAAAGTGTGGTTATAACAGGAAAGTCAATAGTAAAGAATCAATCATCTGTTGCAGAAGAAAATTTGTCTCCCAGTTTCATTGATTCAAGAAATTCACAGAGAAAAAAAAAATGCACAGAAAAATAATCTAATAACTGAAGCATCCAGACAAACCTGCGTCGTTGAAGCTGAAGTTCAGTTTCTCCAGCACCACTAATAAAACCACGCCCCCCACTTCCTCTCCTATAATCCAAAGCAAATCACATCTTAAATCTTCCAATGTGTAATCACACCTAAATTGAACAAATGTACACATATCCATATGACATAATGGAAAAGTGTCGAGGACATGCACTTAAGATACTATGTAAATTTTCCTGAACAATCAATTCCTACCAACAAGCACTGTGGCAGAGCCAATTTTTGTCATAATTTCAAGCAATATACTTACCCTCGAGCACTAACGACTTCTGCTTCTCCAATTTCACCAAAAGTATAACGTCCATTAGGACCACGTACACGAACAAGCCTAGTCCTCTTGTACATTAGAGCTGCTAACTCGGCCTGCGGAGTTGACGAAGGATTGATAGATGCCCAAAGATCCAAAAATTATTTCTAGATCCAAGAGAAACTAAGGTAAAATATATGCAGTGAAATTGGAGGAATACCTGTAGCTTGGCTTCCTTTGTCTGGGCATGAGCATTGAATATTTCTACTATAAGACCCACACGGTCCAAAACAGGCTTATTCCAAGCCCGCTGCCAGTTAAAGTAGAACAAAAGAAAATCATTACAAAGTTAACATTTCTCTCATAAAGTGTAACGAAGGGGGTAAAGCTTCTCACTACTCATGTGACACAAACAAAGGAAGGCACAACTTGCCTCTAAATTCCGTTGCTGAATCCCACTCAAAATTGCATTCACAAATACAGCATCCACTCCACCCTATCAACATAATATAGGCATGGCCAAATTTCCCTTTACCCTTGTGGCACACTACAAATTTTAAAAAGCAAACAGAACATCAAGCAATCATGTGGGAGTATTCATACCTCTGATTCAACACCATTTAGATGACATTTAACTGTTTGCACTGTCCCTGGTCCAAAATAGGTATCTGCAAATTTCAAAAGATATACATAAATATATGTACCGAGGGCAGTCACTTTGTCATATTATGCCCAAGTTCATGTTTATAAAGACTCTGCCTGTCCCAGTATCCTCTTTAACGCCTTAATAGGGGACCAAATAAGGTAATGTACTTATGGCATTTAAGCAGATAGATCCAACGCAGCAATATCTAATGAGCTAACCATCATTGATCCTTTACTGCCAACTACTTTAGGACAAGTTTGGCAGCACAGTTTGTGTTGTGCGATTTTGGGTTCTTCCGACCATCATTTGCATTCCATGACTCAGAGCAGAAACAAATGCATTTTCCAAAAAACCATTGTTCCTTCAGAAACAGAGGCATTCTTAACAATGTCCACCCAAACCGCCCCCATGTAAACAATACCCCCTTCAACAACCCGTTTTACATGATCGGATACTCCAGAGAAAAACAAAATTAATCAGCAAACCAAACATTCAAATATAGGTATCCCACCGAAGCTACAAAGGGCATCGTTATACCACCTTAGAACCCATAATCAATCACACCCCAACCCAACGAACAAAAACTAAAAATGAAGTAGACAATCAACCCATTCTGTAATTATAAAAACAATTAAGTCACAACCCGAAATCGAAGATACTAACCTGCTCGAGGCGATCTGGCAGCTGGGTTTTGAACAATAACATGTGGGGGCAATTCCTTCTCCGAAAACTCAGTATCGTAGAACCCATCACGTTGTTCTTCGAGCGAATTTGCAAGGTTCAGACCTTCGTTAAGCTTGGCCTGCAAGAGGGTATCCGGCCGAAGACGCGGTTGGACCACAAACAGCTTCGGAGGGCTCGTAGGGTCCCTGTTCGAATCCTCGTCATAATCGTCTTGGCGTCTATGAAGCGGACGTGAGTGCGAGAACGGCGAAGAGAGGAGTGGAATTATAGGGGAAGAAGGGTTTTCACGGATTGAATGTGATGGGCTAATGGTAACTTTGAAGGTTGAAGGCAATGAGGATTGGACTTGTGGTAGGTATGTTAAGGTTTGAGAGAGAGACCTGAGTTCAGCTCGTATGGAAGAGCAGGTTCTCAACATTTGAAAAACTGGAATTTGTCGTGGCGATTGTATTCTGTTTGACTGTGCTTTGGTTTTTGGTCTGTGAATCAACTGATTGAAATCCGGAAAAAGCTGCAGAGGAGGAAGCACAAGTGTGTTTCTGATCGAATGGCATCGGGAACGAAGAAGGTGGTTTGTTAGGGTGGCGGTTCGGATAGTTGGGCTCTGTAAGCAGTTTTGTGAGTCCACTGGGCCATAGGATGGCCCATAAATAGCTCAATAACACAAAGACTAAGGCCCTATATAGGCTCGTTAACTAGGTCAGATAGGATTTACTTTGCTCAACAAATTCAAACATAACAAAATACTTCTTATTTCAATAAATATAAATAAATAAAAAAACCAAACCTATTAGGATCGTCTGATGCAAAATCGGCCCGTTGGGACAATAACTTGTTGATCTAGTTGCCACCGAAGCCACAAATGACTATCTCAATTAATTCATTTCTCCTGATAAGCTCAAATTGCATCATAAGAATTACCCAAAAAAAAAAATTATTTTTCTTTTGTTTATATCGAGCTGCTGTATATTGATTTAATCTCATCTGATCAATCTCAAGACACATCTTATGGCCTTAGATATAATAATAGGGTACAAGAACCATTAAATAGGAACAGCACTTTTATCACTATTGAGAGTCATACCAAAATTGTGGGAGTTGCAAAACCCCAGGTTTAAATAAAATACAATGAATGAATCAAGCAGACTTGCTCTTTTTGTGCTTATGGCCATCAGCTCTGTCTCTTCCTTTCCTCTTAGTCCTACCTCTCGAAGCTTGCTTAGCTGCCTGAGGTCAGAGAAAAAGCAAATTCAAAAGAGACCTTTAAATTTTACTTATACTGAAACATCAACCTTTGATCACTCAAGCCACTGAAACAAGTTATAATTGCATTTGTTGTTAGTAGAAGATATGATCTTAGACCAAATTTTCAAAAGTCCAACAGTTCGAAGTTTTTTTTATATCACTTGCTAATTAATTTTGGTTTTCAAAAAAACTCCCACCTACAAAACATTTCTTTTAAGATGGATGTTAAGGAAGTGGATAGATTTTGGTCAATTTGTTACATGAGCTTGTGGAAAAAAATGTCTTGGCAAACTTGTCATTTGTAATTCTTTGTGAAGGTAATTTCTCTCGAACAAATTGGGTACGACGATAAAGGAGATGAACTATAAGAAAAAAAAAACACTTTGTAATAATTAGTCATCGTACCTCTGCAGAGAAAGATTTGAGAGGGTCTCTACTTTTTCTAAATTTTCCCTTCAATCCCTTGTGGCGACCAGAGAGAGAATTTCCCATTGCAGCTCTAGCAAGCTTGACAATCTTTCGAGCTTCTTGTGTTGTTGGGTCCAACAGGTACTCAGGCACATCACGTAGGTGAGGAGCAGGAGCCTTCTTGCTCAGCATCTTGTCATGTTTCAGAAGATCTATCCAAACATGAGCACAATCAGTCTTAAATGTTTAGATATGATGACTAATATCCTTACTAATATCCAACAATTGACAGCCTCACTACCTAAGTCCCTTGGATTATCTTCAAAATGAGCCTTCAACCTGAAAAAAATTGAAGATAATTAATAAAAAACATATACAGTTATCTTTGCACATGCAAATAACCTATAAATGTCGCAGTATAATTAAAAAAAGACAGCTCGGCATGTAATATCCAGATATAACGTGGATGGTTCTTCTCAAAAAATTATTGCAACCAAAAATTTCACATAAAAATCATCTATCGTGTTAAAGGAAGGTAGAAGGTGACATAATCATACCAAGTAGTACAAATAACTAAATCCAGTTTAAATCAGCAGCAGCACAGACAGAACAAGATGCAGGAGATAAGAGCTGTATATAAAAAGGAAAAACTAGTCAGAAAATAACTCACTTTTCAGAATTTAGAATTTCATTCCTCAGATCCTGTGCCCTTGATTCTCTCACAGCAATTTTTGTCACACTCCTCGCAACATCCTGCAAAGGTCACCCAATCAATTTTTGAGATCTCCCTTTAGGCAATTTTTTTAAATTACAGTTGCACGTGTAAAATATCAAATGCAATCAAATATCACATAGCCTTTTCTCAACTAGTTAAGGATGTGTATCTATTTTGCTATTCTAATCCATAAGGGCTTATAATCCAGAAAATTAAAGGTCATCGCGCTATTTTTCATGCCTTAACACTCTCCTTTGACTGTTCCATACTGCAAAATCAAAAATCTCTCTTGAGCATGTCTGGCCAGTGTTCTTATCTTTGTTTATGGATCATACTGTTTTGTCTTAATACAACTAGAGTTGGGCCTTTCTGTAATATAAACCATCCACCAAAAACATCGTGCTAACTAAGAAACTGTTTAATGGCCATCTTTCTTGTTCACCCAGTACATTGAAAAGCACCATCAGATTTGCAGGAATAAGTTCTGTTGGGTCATTAATCTCCTTCATTATGTTCAACCAGAAAGTAATGGCAAGCATCCATGTCGAAAATTCTTGTCTTAATAAGAACCTCTATTTGTTGGCATCTTTCTTGTTCACCCAATACATTGTAAATCTCCAACAGAATTGCAGAAATAAGTTCTGCTGGGACAGTAATCTCCTTCATTATGTTCAAGCCACGATATCAAAATAGTTGCTGCTATTTATGTGTCTCACTGCCAACAATCAGTAGTAGGATAGAGTCCATCTACTTGAAACCAGAAGCACATATTTCACCAAAATGGATACATTTTTCGTTTGATGAATGTGAATGCATGCCAAAGCAAGCCAAAATTGGCCAGCCTTACATTCCCGACTCAGCTAACCAAACCAAACCAAGCCAAGCCTTATATCTCAATCATTTGAGGTCACCTATATGAGTCCATATTTGCCATTCATTTCAATCATATACCATATGCTCATTTAAGTTAAATATGTTCATATCTTTTCTTATTATTTCGTTCAATGTTAATTTAGGTCTACCCCTACTTATAGTACCATTAAGAGAAATTCTATCACTTTTTCGAACTGGTGCCTCTATCGGCTCCATTGAACATAACCAAACCATCTTAATCTATTCTCTCTTAACTTATTCTCAATTAGAGTTACTCCTACCATTTCTCTAATACGGTCATTTCATATCCCATACTTTCTAGTTTTTCCACACATCCACCTTAACATTCTCATTTCCGCAATACTCATTTTGTCACTATGTTGTTTCCTAGTTGCCCAATTCCGTCTCATACAACATTGTTGTCTTTATAGTTGTTCGATAAAACTTACCTTTCAATTTTATTGGTATCCTCCTATCACATAATATGTCAGAGGTTTTCCTCCACCTAAGCTGACCGACATTAATTTTATGAGTTACATCATTTTTAATCTCTCCATCATGTTTAATGATCGATTCTAGATATCTAAATCGTTTACTTATTGGTATTTCTTGATTTTTAATCTTAACTTTTTTCTTATGTCTACTTCTATTACTAAAATTGTATTGCATATATTCAATCTTATTCCTACTTATTTAAAACCCTTTCGACTCGAATGTCTCTCTTCAAATTTTTAGTTTATTGTTAATACTCCTTTGACTCAACTACTAATACAATATCATCTGTAAATAGCATACACCGTGAGACATTACCTTGAATGTATCTAGTGAACTCTTCCATAATTAGGGATAGGTATAGAATTTAAGGTTGATCCTTGGTGTAATCTCACTGTGATTGAAAATTCTTTACTTTTTTCCACGGAAGACCTAATGTAGTCATAACTTGGCATACATGTTCTTTATCACCCTCAATATACCTCTTTGTCACCCATTTTCTCTCAAGCATCCTTCATATTATATTTCTAGACACTTTATCATACACCTTTTTTAGATCTATAAATACCATATAAAGATTTTTCTTCTTCTCTCTATACATTTCTATGAGTGTCCTCAATAAATATATAGTCTTCATAGTTGATCTACTCGACAAAAAACTCAAAACTTATTTTTTAACACTATAGTCTCAACTCTTAGGCAACGTTCAATGACCATTTCCTATAGTTTTATTGTATGACTCATCAATTTTACCCTTCTATAATTATTACAATTTTGAATACTTCCTTTATTTTTATAGATAGATACTAAAATACTCTTTCTTCTTCTCTCTATACATTTCTATGAGTGTCCTCAATAAATATATAGTCTTCATAGTTGATCTACTCGGCAAAAAACTCAAAAGTTATTTTTTAACACTATAGTCTCAACTCTTAGGCAACGTTCAATGACCATTTCCTATAGTTTTATTGTATGACTCATCAATTTTACCCTTCTATAATTATTACAATTTTGAATACTTCCTTTATTTTTATAGATAGATACTAAAATACTCTTTCTCCATTTATCGGACATTTTCCTAATAACAATAATTCTATTGAATAATTTCGTTAGCCACAACACTCCCTCATTCTCCAAACACTTCCAAACCTCAATTAGAATCTCATCTGGTCCTAAAGTCTTGGCTGATATCATTTTCTTCAATGCAAACTCTACCTCTGAATTTTTTATTCTACGAAAGAACGTCATGAATCTTACCATTTTCTATCTCTTCTAAGTTTTTTAAGTAATTTTCATTTAATAATTTCTTAAAATAATATTTTCACCGATCATTTATTTCGTCTTCTTTAACTAAAACCTTTTGAATCTTTGCCCATGATGCACTTAACTTGGTTAAATTCTCTTGTGTTTCTTTCTCTAATTTTAGCTAGTTTGTAAATGTCTTTTTCTCCTTCTTTATTATCTAATTTTTTATACAACTCGTCGTAAGCTTTTAACTTTACGTCTCTATCTATCTTTTTAACCTCTTTGTTAACTAATTTATATCTTTGGAAGTTCTCCCTATTTCTATTATTTGGTCATCCCTTAAAGGATTCTTTCTTTACTTTAACTACATCTTGTACGTCGTCATTCCACCACTAAATTTCTTTTCCCACAACTCTCTACCCTTCGACTCCCCAAGAATCTCTTTCAAGATTTTTCTAATGTCTTCCTTCATCCTACTCCACATAACATTAGTTTCATCCTCTAGATTCCATAAGGCCTCCTTACACATTCTACTCCTAAATAGTACTAGTTTCTGATCTTTTAGATTCTATCATCTCGTTCTTATTTTTCTAATGTTTCTCCTTACTCTATGTTACCCTTTAATATATAAATCTAGGATTGTTAGCCTAAGTTGAGATGTTAAGCTCTCCCCGGAATAACCTAACAATCTTTACATGTTAATCAATCTGTTCTTCTAATTAAGAAATAGTCTACTTGACTTTTGTTTAGTCTACTCTTAAAGGTTATTACATGTTCTTTTTGTTTTAAGGTGTTTGCCACTACAAGGTCATATGTCATTGCAAAATCTAAAATACTCTCTCCAACTTCATTTTAATCAACTATATCCATAACCACCCTGCACCATCCCATATTGTGTCATATCTTTTCCTACATGTCCATTAAAATCTCCACCTATGACTATCTTCTCTTCTATAGGTATATATTGAACTAATTCATCTATTTGCTCCCAAATTACTTTTTAATATGTTCCTCTAACCCTACTTGAGGTACTTGGGGTGCATAAGCGCTAATCACATTAATTATATTCTCTCAAACTACTAGTTTGATAGATGTAATCCTATTTCCTTTCCTTGTAACTGTTACTACGCTATCTTTTAGACCTTTATCTAAAACTATTCCTACTCCATTTGTTCATCTATCCTTTCTTGTATAGTAAATCTTAAATCCTGTATTTCCTATCTCCTTTGCCTTCTCACCTATCCAATTAGTTTCTTGTAAGCATGCTGTACTAATATTTCTCCTGCTCATAGTGTCTAAAGCATTGTACCAAGGTGATTCCAACTGATGTTGGCTGCAGAAACTTATTTTACAAATTCCCAAAATCTAAGGGTACGATTTCCTAGTTACCAATAAGGCAATAAGCTAGCCAGCACCATCACTCATTCATTAGCCATCGCAAACTTTCTCACCACCACCTCAACACAGCTCTTCCTCAGCTTTTCTTCTACAGAGACGTCGTCTTTGAAAGTATGGAAACTGAAACCAAAACTTTCTTGAAAACTTACGAAGCAGAGACTTTCTAACAGTTCATGAAACTGAAAACTTAAACATTCATTTTCACTGATATGCCAATAAATTGCAGATATATCCAAACTACAAAACTAATAACTTACAAAGGTGCATATACAAAGATGCATAAAGATCTATCAAGCCCCATCACTCGTCACATGATGTCTTTGTATTGGAATTATGTTCCATTCTATAAAGGAAATGATTAGAACAAGTACCTCAGCTCTATATCGCAAAGACTCCACTGCATTCTTACTGAGTAAAGGAAATGGGGCAATAAAATTTGAGTCCTTGCTTTCATTTTCTCCCAAAATGGATTTTATTTCTTCAAAAATTTCCATCTCTTCTGGAGAAACCTGTTTACATAAAACACGAAAGAAGGCCAATTAGGCAGGAAAACAACATGTACATCATTACCATCATCCAGCTTCCAGCGACTCTTTTTGCATTCCAGGGAAAGAAAGAGGGGGGAGAGAGCAAAACATAGAACAGATGTATGCTACAATAGTTTTACATCATTATCATCATCCATCCTCCAGAGACTCATATTCCATTCCAGGGAAAGAAAGAGGGGGAACCACAAAAAATAAAACAAATTTATGCTACAATGGTCAAAATGTTCCATGGTCTCTACTACTGCCAGTTCTCCATTGATACGTTGGGATTTATAATCATAAATGACAGTATAATGGAAGGAATCTATCCCCAAAAAAAGGGGTAAGTACATGGAAGAAGGTATCTATGGAAAAAATGAACAATAGAAGACAAGATGACCATTTTACTTCAATGATGGCTCCTATACCATGTTGAACAGCAATTCATTTTAAAAAAACTTACAAGAGAGACAGATGCACCAGTATTATATGCTCTCCCAGTGCGTCCAATGCGATGTACATATCCCGTAGCATTTGGAGGCATCTCAAAATTTATAACCTGTTGAAACAAATAGACAGTTACCTCTAAGTAGTAAATTCAGCATCAATAGCTCAGCCAAACATGATGTTCACACTACGCATATTGAGACTAAAAACAAAGCTAATTATCCTATCAGCCACCAAACCTCAAGTTTAGCATCTAAAATAAACTCTATTTTTTTTTTTGGTGCCCTTATACAAGGGTATATGCTCCTCTTAGTTTTCAGCTTCATTGTAATCATTGTCTTAATACAAGAAACCAAAATAAGATAAACGGTAACTCCTCCAATACTTTTGAGTGGCTAATGCAGTAAAAACTAGAGAAATGCAGATAATTATATTGGGCTTAGTCCACTTTGACCACATCTCAAAAAGGTCTTTTGAGTGTCAGGATTTTAAGAACCATCAAGTTGCATTGTTTCCCTAGGATTAACACACCAGTCACAAGAACTTTGACCCACTTCCTTATGACATATCTATTTGATGTTACAGACACAGCCACGAAAGCATAAAACAAATAGCATATCCACAATCTTTTTCCAATACAGCATATCCACAAATTTTAATTCGCTCTAATTCCACAATGAAGACCAAAAGACATCATTGTTCTGACTAAAAATCTCATAGTAAGAATCAAACAGCCTGAATTGCCTTTGGGAACTTGCTTATTAGGCCAGCCATTGCGCAAAGCAACATTGTTCCAAAGGTCTGTTGAGATTGCGTACCGTGTGCACATTTTTGAAGTCAATTCCTCTCACTACACCAAATTCAGAGTCTAATTTTTTCTTGTCATGTTTTTTGGATTTTTTTCGGTCAACATGACTTTCTCCATCAGCTTGTCCCTTCTCTTTAGATTGAATGCTATCGGTTGCAATCAAATAATCAAAAAGCCCAGCATTGAATTCCTGTTCAAATCAGTGACATACAATAAATAAGGAACAAAAGAGAGTGAATGAGACATTGAAATGAAATGGGAACATATAAGCCAGAGAATTCACATAAGGTATTCATTTTGTCCGATATCCACCACACAGAACACAGTAGTAACTTAAGCATACCTCAAGGATATGTAGACGAGAATTCTGTGGCAACTCAGCATTTAAAACTACAGACTTGATTCCAAACTGCCACGAATTTAGATTTCGCAAAAGGGATGACCAAATTAGAAACCATATAACAGTTGATAATACACAAGTAGTGATGATTAATAGTAACAAATCAATCGCCAATTTCTCAATGTTCTCAACTCTGAACTATGAGAAAAGCAATTGAAAAAAGATTCCACTCAGCACAAGATTCTTATAGTCTTAACATAACAGAGAAGCTCATGAACATATAAAACCTATTCTCAGCCGCCTATCCTGAAAGCGATGAGTGTTTGGTATGCCTCTAAATGAAGAATCAGGTACAAAGAAGCTACTCCATAACCCCCACCCCGCAAAAATTACAAATGTTTTTAACTCATCCACAGTGACATTTATGCTCAAACAGGTAACTTTTCAAAAACACATCAACTGATTAATATAGAACATTAAAAAGATACAGAGCTCAAAAGATGCATAAATAAGTCACGACACCTGTTCGAAGAATAGTTTCAGTCTGAAACTCATGTCAATTGAATTAGTAAAGATCAGTACTTTTTTCTGAAGCAACTCCAACTTCAAGAGGGCAAGGATGTGTAGGAGCTTATCATGAGCACTGCACGAAATCTAAACAAAAAAATAGTTTAAGGAAGCACATAATGAATTGGTAAATAAATGCTCAATATATTCAAAATGCATACGTATCACTCTCTGAAATCATATTCAGCAGGAAAAGGAAAAATATGCAAAGGTTGCTAATTGAGTGCGTAACAAATAAAACAAAGGAAAACCACCAAAAGAAAAAGCAAACCAAAAACTTTATTAAAAAAAAAAAACCTTTTAAATATTAGACAGTTTTGGCATGCACACAATTGAGTATCTTACAGATGAAATTCAAAAGTGTACAATAGTTGTATTTGAGGAAATAAGTCCAACAGTAAATACGCTTAATAGAGTTCTCCTATGGAGGGTCCATACTTTACCAATAAAGTCGGTAATCCTTACCCAAAATTGCTGAACATTTTGGGGAATAATCTCATCCTTAGCTTCTCCAACTTCAGGCAAAGTTAAGATATAGGGATTGTGTAGAATAAGCTTTTTCAGCTTTTCGACATCGGCACTGCAAAAGTCCAACAGGACCAACATATATCAGTATGAGTTGGTTTTTTTAAGTTCAAAGTAATAAAGCGGCTGAAATGCATAAAGAATAAAAAATCATGTCCCATTCAGAAAACAAATAGGAAAGAAATAAAAAATCATGTGCAATTGAGAGCTTTCCACAAGCTATTAGTCTAATTTTAATGGATGAATAAGCAAACTACTCCGCAACCACCAGGGCACATAAAGGAACGTGAAAAACAAAGGGTTAAAAGCAAATATATCACCTAAATTTTCGGTCAATAGCGGACTCCTCCCTTCACCTATAGATAAATGCAGAAACACTCATTTGACGGCCAAAAAGAAACATCAAAATTCACCTACTGTCACACATTGCCCTAATTTGTTAGTGATATCCATAGTTATCAAAATCATACAATTCGCGATTCGATTCGTACGATTTTGTTCGATATAGGTATAAAAAGATTCATATCTTATATAAGAACCATTTTAGAGCTGAATCGTACGATGTGATTTCGATCACACGAATCGCATGATTCAATCACTTTTTTAAAAATCTAATTTTTTTGCAAAACGACATCGTTTTATCATTTTGTGCGCTAAACAGTAAAACAACGTCATTTTGTTTGCGGAGGAACCCACGTCCTAATAAAAACTCAACTTCTTTACTCGTTCTCTCTCTTACGTTGTTTAAAACTCAAGGTCACAGCTAACGCTCAAGCATCGTCGGTTAATTTTTGCTATCAATTCATTCATGGATAGGTTATTAGGTTCTCATTTTTTATTTCAAAATATTGGTCTCTATATTTTCTCTCAATCAATTTTCTTATTTGTTCTTTTTTCATTCATGTTTGTAATATAATCTATATTGGGTGTCACTATTTTGGTTCTGAAATAGTCATGATTTTTTAATGAATTTTTTTTCCTTCAAGTTGTTAAATTTGAATATAGCTAAGCAAAAGATGAAAATGAAGTAAAAGACTAGAGTCTTTCTATTTAAACAATGTGATTATGTCAATTGATTATTTTTATAATGCAATAATATTCAATATTCAATATTTTGTCTATTTTAAATATGTAATATTATTTTTTATTTTTGTTCAAGTTTTGTGTTGAATCTTACGATTCACGATTCTGAAATTTAGAATTCTGATTCACGATACGAATCACAATTTGACAATTATGGTGATATCATCATGATTGGCAATAGAGTTCCAAAAAAAGCTCTACCCTTCACTCAAAACTCATAAATATACTCATCTAACTAATAGAATCTCAACAAGCTTTTCCATTCACTTGGATATAATCGATAGCCCCAAATTGCAAGATCTAAGGATCTTTTTCAATCACATAAGGGTTAAGAGGGCTGAAAAATGTCATTGTAAATTCATGAATAATTCTTTCATTTCAAAATTCAAATTTTTTTCTTATTTAGTTACCAGCTCTGTTAGGGTTAATATTGTCACTTCGTAAATTCTGTTAATGAAATGAGAAATGTGAACTCTATTAATAAAAAGTGACCCCCGCTAATGATTTGGGTGGTCAAATGGGATTTTTTCATTTATCGAATGGTTAAGGGGAAATCCCTCTATTTGACTAAAACATTAAGACGTATTTTTGTTTTTCACCTAAAAATAAACTGCCAACTACGTAGTATGCACTAATGAAAACTACATTCAAAAGTGAGGCAAGTAATAGCAAAAGTTAACTTTGAGCTTCAGAAGGAGAATAACATAAAAAAGTTCAAAATCCACCTTGAGGTAGCAGACATAAGCAGGCATTGACAACATCTAGGAACATGCGCTGTAAGAGCTTTTAGATCATCTTCATATCCATATGACAAAAGAAGATCTGCCTGATTGCAAAAGTAACTTATTAATCTCTTTAAAGAGGAAATAGTTAAGTAATTTATCAAAAGGTCATTTGGATTAAATGCATAATTTGTTCTGAAGTAAAGTCAAAATTTATTCTACTGTCCATCAACAGGATATAATAACATTGCCACCTGAATTGTAGTAAATTTTTTAATTCAGGGTGAACAAACATAGGCAGCGCGTCCAAATTTAGGTCACAAACAAGAAAGTCAGACAATTCAATTACAAGATCAAATTCAACAACTGAATTTTTTTATAAACTGGGCTCACACCTCATCGAGAATGAGAGATGAAAGTGACTCCTGAACAAATTTTGGTTGAAGAACACCTTTCGATAAGCATGTTTGTACGCAAGCTGGCGTAGAAACTAGAATATCAGGTGGTCCGGCCAATGCAGTTCGCTGCAACCAAAATACCATAATGAGATATGTAGCAACAAAAGTAGTCAATTATTCATGGATCCCTATATAACTTAATCAACAAAATTGGGGGATGAACTAACCAGATCAGAGACAGACATTGTGCTTGCCAATTGTACCACTTTTAATTGCACTCTACATAGCTCAGTTAGCGACAATACCTCTGAATAAACCTGAAGCAAACATAAAACAACAAATTCTGAAGTCGGTAACTAATTAACTGGTAAAATCAAAACCCTAGGAAATTAAACGGAGTTTAAATGTGACTAAGCTAATGTACTTGTTGGCATAGCTCTCGTGTTGGCACAAGAATGAATGTGTTCGGCGCGAGATTCTTTTTTGTAGCAGAATCGGAGAAGAGCTTCTGAAGCAAAGGAAGGAGGTAAGCTAATGTCTTTCCAGAACCAGTCTTTGCTCGAGCCACCACATCCTTGCCTTCCTAAAAAATACAGCAACCAAATAACAGAAACTTTTTTTTTCAAAAGTTGCACAATTTCTTTTCTTTTCTTTTCTGACTATCCAAACGGAGCATAAACGAGGGAAGCGGATTTGAACTTACAAGGATCAAAGGGATAGCGACTCGCTGGATGGGAGTGGGCTTCTCAATGCCTTTCTTGGTTAAGGCACGTATAAGGCGAGCGTCCAAACCGAGCCCTTCGAAGGTCTGCTCTTCTTCTTCTTGCTTCTCTTGTTCGTCAATTTCTTGTGTGGATTTCGAAGTTGTGCTTGCCATTGATTCCAGGGAGACTCTAATCACAGTTTTGAAGTATCGATCGAGAGAGGAGAGGGGGGGTTTGGCGAGTCCACGGATTTGCACGGAAACTAGGGTTAGGGTTTTTGTTGAAATGTTTTAGAAGTTGACAGCTGGCAGAGCGGTAGTGGTAACGGGTGAGTATGGTCCGCTCCGGATAATGACCCAAACAAAATTTTTGCTATAACGGATTATTTTATGCCCTCAAACTGGCGTGTCACCGGTTATACGGTTATGAACCAAGTCTAATTAAATTCATGTAGAAAATTAATAAATTTGTACACGACTTGGATAAGTAATTGGATGGAAATTTTTTAATTTAATATAATTTGTTTATTAAGAAGATAACACGACACGACATAACTCGTTTAACCTGTTTAATAAATGAATTGGATTAGATAGAATTTGGTTAATATGATAATTTTTTTAAGGAAAAATTTCATCCACACCTTTTGTGGATAGGTCTGATTTCAATAACCCTTCTTCTCGTTTTTTAAATTTCACTGACACCCTTTATCAATTTTGATCTAATAACGGACGTAACAAAAATATATTATTTATCATTTTACCCTTAACTTTATGTTGTTTATATATATCATTCCTTATCCATTCTCACCTCTTTCACCACTGTCGCCCCTCCATAGCATCATTCGTCACCCTTTCACATCTCTCCCTCTCTTTATCCTTTTTTCTCTCTCTCTCTCTTTAGCAGAACCGTGTTGAGAGAGGAGCAAAAATTTTCAAATTGAATTGAGAGTTTTATAATGGGTGTTGATGCAAGGGTTATGGCGGTGGATTGGTGGTGGTGGACATGTGAAATTTGATAGTCAATGGTGCGTGTGCGTGCACGTTGTGGGAGTAGTTGATGTCAAGTGAGTTTGGGATAGATTGGGCATGGGTGTGGGGGCTGAGTGGAGGCTAATCTCTCTCTCTCTCTCCAACAAACCCCTTGCAGCCATGTTGAGATAGGAGCAAACAAAGATTCAATTGATTTAGGGGTTTTGTAATGGGTGCTAATGCAAGGTTTGTGGTGGTGGTGGGTATGTGAAAATTGGTAGTCAACGGTGTGTGTGTGTGTTCACGTTGTGGGGGTGGTTGATGTTAGATGGGTTTTGGGCATGGGTTATGGGTTATAGGGCTGAGTAGAGGCTAAACTCTCTTTCTCTCTCTTTCTCGACAGCGTATAAAAGGATAAGAGTGATGTCTGAAAACAACTGACTGGTTTGTCCCTAATTTGCTTGCTTGTTTGATGAATTTGTTGAATTGAGTGCTTGTTGCTGCATATTGTGGTTGTTACTGCATGTTATGTATTTGTTTTAGCTGGTCTATGGTGGTGGTTTTGTGGAGACAATGGTGCACTAGAAGAAAAAAAACTCTGGTCTGGTCTGGCCTAGCTTGGCCCCACAAGAAAGAAGAACCCAATCTAGAATAGGTTTAATGTAGTCGGAAGAATCAGTCCCATTGGATGGCATACAGAGGGACGAGGGGTTCATTTATCCTCAAGAATTGGTATGGCATTTAGAACAAAGGCCTTCCACCCAAATATCAATAGCAATGGAAGCATATGCCTTGACATCTTGAAGGAGCAATGGAGCCCTGCCCTAACCATTTCCAAGGTGTTGTTTACAATCTGTTTGTTGTTGACAGGCACTAATCCTGATGATCCCTTGGTGCTAGAGATTGCTCACATGTACAAGACAGACACGAACAAGTAGGAGACTACTGCAAAGAGCTAGACACAAAAGTATGCCATGGGTTAAGCATGCTATGGTAAGTACAAAGAAGAAGAAAGGGGTTGAGTGTTTTCTTTAAATACTTTGGTCTGTCCATTTTATGTAAGAATTAGTTTGATCTGTTTGTTGATCCTAAATGGCCAAAACAGTGGTCCAAGACATGCCCTTTAAAGGAGGGGGGGATCACCAGATGTTACTTCTAAATGTTTGTGTAATTTGATCTGTTAAACAATGTAATTTTTCTAAAAAAAAAAAAAGTGATGTGAAGAAGAAAGGTGTAAAATTGGTATTTTTGAAAAAAAAAATAAGATAACATAATTACTTTTTTAGTTGTCAGTAACGATTTGTCATCGTAAAGGGTGTAATTGAAATAAATATATGAACTATAAGGGAGTATAATGAAATTTTAGAATCGGGAAAGGATATTACTTAAATTAAGTCTATCTACAAGGGGTGTAGATGAAATTATCCATTCTTTTAACCACCACATGTTCACTTGAACATCATCCGAAAAATTATTAAAATTAATCTAATTAATAGCTACGTATATTATTATGATTAAATTTTTTTAATAATAATTAATTTATTATTATATTAATTTTATTTTAAAAGTAAATGTATGATAAAAAGGTTGATATGTCTCACTTTAATACGACCTGTTTATTAAATGAGTCTGACAAATCGACTCATTTATCACCCGAACTTGATAAGGTTTAATCAAAATCCATCAGTTAATTGTGTTTTGTCGAATTTTGAGAGACCTTACGTCAAACCCGAGTCAAACAACGTAAATAGGACCCCCCCCCCCCCGGACCCAACAACTATGTTCTAACCGCAAAGTGGAAAACACAAACAAAAAAGGGGTGGAAGAAAGCTTAACATAGGCCTCAGAAAAAAGCCCAAAGCCCAATGGGCTGTCCACGGCCCGTACAAGTGGTAAGGCTTGGATAGCCCGTAGCCTGACAAGTAGGGCCCTGGGTCGTGTTTTTTGGGCCAGCCCGTTAAGAAGCTCATTAGCTCTGCCCGTTAGCCCAATAGAATATACCCATTGAAAAATAATTTAGATTATATTTCATAATTTTATTATTTATTTGATATTTAATCTGTAACTTTTATAAGGTCAAAACTTGTAAATGATTGACAATTGTGTAGGTGTCAATCCAATTGGGATGTACTCAATTTGTAGTGATGTAAAATAGTCTCACCCATTAAACAATTTATAATGTAAAATTGTAACTATATATGAATATTTGTTAAATTTAATTAAAATAAATAATTTTTTTGCTAATTTATTTTTTTATATCAATTTAATGTAATTGATATCTTTTTGTAATTATTATATAAAAAATAAATTTTTTGATATCTTTTTGTATTCTTTTACATAAAAAATAATTTTTTAATAAAAACCTCGTTTCAAACCCAATTGGCCGGCCAAAAGGCCCGGCCTGTATTTAGCCCATTTTAAGACCAGTAGGTTTGCTCACGGCAGACCATGGGCCTTAAAAATATCCAAAGGGCAGGCTCGGTCAATTGACTGGTCAAAGTCCAAAGACCCAATCCATGGGCTGAAAATTTTGGGTCGGGCCCGGCCCAGCCCAAGCCCTAGCTTAACATAATTTAATGGGGAATTTGGAGGCCGGTCCACTTATATGGACTTATTTAAAAATAAGTCCGTTAAGAAAATTTATTTGGTTTTTAGGTCCGTTTTTTATCAATTTTACTATTGTAACCCTTCTTTATACGAATGTTATAAATGGCGTTTATGATACAATAATCAGTCATATACATCTTCTTCATACTTGCCTTCAAATTCAACTACAATCTTCTAAGTCACAGTGTTTCCTTATCCGAAAAATAAGAAATCGGTATTTATTAAAAATCGTTCATATTCAAATTTTAAACTCTTTACATTCCATATAATATAATTTTAATTTATTATTCCAGTTTACTTTGGACTTCATCGACAAAATATTAATATTTAAAAAATAACAATAGTAACAAAAACAGTAACACACTCACTAAAAAAATAGTAATATGTTCAGAAAAAAATGATAACATGGTAAAAAAATAATAACAATTAGGAATTTAATTCTGTCAAAGTGGACATTAATCTTGTAACCAAGATTCAAGAGAAGTCATACATTAGTATTAAATTAAAGTGTTATAAATTTTGATTTTATTGATTGTTTTATTGTGCAAGACAATCAAGTATTCCTTGGTTGTGTTATTATGAAAAAAGTTTATATTACTGTACATGAATCAAAAAATTGAGTTTCAAAATTTCGATGTCTTGATGTTCACAATTAGTGTTGAGTGTTGTAATTCAACTGTTGATTATATGTTACTACTCATCATTTTGTAAATTTTTAATTTTTGAATCGTATTTTCACTAAAATCATTCGAAAGTTGATATTATTATAAAAAAAATATTGTCTTGTATTTTGTAAAATTAGATATGTTACTAAGCACAAAATTTTGTTGTTACTGTGAATATTAAAGTATATGTTACATAATATACGTCTTAAGATTTGTAATTGTATGTTAAAATTCACTATAATAATATTAGTGTCAATATAGTAACACGACTGTACTGACAAAATAAAATCTAATTGTAACTGCAATCATATAGTAACATAAATGTTATTATATCACATTCATGTTACTGTACCATGTTGATATTGTTTAGTCTCACTATATTATGCATTATTGTTGTTATGAAATTTTTGTGATATGATTTTAACTTAATAGACCAACAATTTATTCATACATTAAACTTTCCATATGTAACTTTCATATAAAACTTTCATTAATTATCATAATATTTAATAAAGAGTTTCCATATATAATTCAATCAAGGATTTTCATATATACTTTAATGATCTAATCTATGTGACTTTTCATAATTAGACAAAATTAATACCGTTAAGGATAATTTGGAGATTTAAAAAATAAGTGGACTTAAATACCTACATATAAGTTTAAATATTGACTTATCATCAAATAAGTTTATTTCCATAACTCAAGTTATTATAAGTCTATCTAGAGGACTGAGTCTCACTTTTCGCTACTTTAATAATGGCTACACAATGTGATAATGGATGACATCGGATGCCCATTTTCATTTCTTTCCTCTACCTTAAATTAGCTATGAAACTTACTTTTATGATTTTCTTGTTACAAAAAAAAAAAAAAAAAAATCTATTCTAACGAGTAATAAAGTTTCAAATGTTAACATTTCTCTCCAAAAAATATTAACCATTAATTAAGAATCAAAAATTTGTTTCCGTGTATTATTTCAATCACCTAAAAAATTAAAACATTTATAAATATTAACCCTTAATTAAGAATCAAAATTTTATTTCTATGTATTATTTAGATCATCTAAAAAATTAAAACATTTTAAAAATATTTCAAAAGCATAATAAAAATATTTAAATTTTATTTACAAAATATTTTGAAATATTGGTCCAACAATGGCAAAAAATTATGAAATAATGGTGGATAATGTCAAAACAAAAACATAGCGTACAAGGCGTGTTTAGTTAGTGTTTGTAAAACAATTTTTATTCTCGAATTTCTAAAAATAAAAGAAAAACTTATTTGGTTATGTTTTTTGTTCTTCAATTTTTAGAAAAAGTGAGAATTGAAGCAATTTTTGAAAAACATCTAAATGATATTCTTTTAGTTTTTAAGTCAAAATGAAAACACGGAAAACACCACCTCCTCTTTAATGAGGTATGAACTTCGAGTTTTGTCAGAGACATTTTTAGCCATCTCTCTCACAACTCAAATAGTAGCGTAGGAGGCCTCTCACTCTCTCACAACTTTCTCTCTCTACTAAATCCAACAAATCTACATATATACATAGATCTGTGTATATATTTGTTGAGCGATGTGTGAGTGAGTGTGTGGGTTGTTTGCGTGTGTTTGCTGTAGAATGTGTGAGTGTGTTTGATGCACGAATGTGTGGGTTTGTTTATTGTGTGCGATGTGTGGGTTTGTGGGTGTGGAGATTGAGAGGAGATAATGGAGAGAGAGAGAAAGAGAGAGAGGGAGAGGGAGATGGGACTGGACATGAAAATAGATAATTCTATATGTACCAAAATTTACACCAAATTAATTGTAATCTTTGAATCACTAATGAGATCCACTGATTTAATGATTGTAAGTGATTTTGCGTAACTTTTGGTGCATATTTTTTGTATACATAGCATTGCTCTATAAAAATTGGAGTGAGAGTTTTGTAGATCATTGTCCAAATAAGTTTAATAATTTTTTATTATTTAAAACTATTTTCAAAAAACATATAAGCAAACATGTTTTACAATAAAAAAAATTTTAAAACACACTTCCTTAAAATTCTTTCCAAATATTATTTTTAGATATTATTTTTTGAAATATAATCCAAAGACGTTCTTACTTTTCGATGCCTCAATTAGTCTAAAACTATATATTGACTTCTACGTGTCAAAAATCAGGTTTGCTGAAGTTTTGGTGACAAGCAAAATATTAGATCTTGAAGCGAGAAAAGTGTATAAAAACATTGGTATAAGAAATGAAAAATAGATTGAGAAACAAAATGAAACCAAACCATTATTTGTGCATAAAATACCGGTTTAGAATAATACTCTAGAACCCTATTGATTCACTCAGAATACTAAAAAAATTAGAAAAAGAGAAAAAGTCTTATCTGAATTATTATTTCATCAAAAAGTTGTGGACCCTAAAACCAAATAGGAAATATAAAAATATTTAATCTAATTATTACAAATTTTGCCAAAAAAAAATAGTTTCAAATTAAATACAAGAGTAAAATATATTAATTATCCAGATTAAGGCCGAATTGATAGAAATCAATATTGATTTCAAACGATGAAGTTATTAAGTTATGAGAAATTTTCGTAAATGGAAAAAAATGTTTTTTTTAGGTCTTGAATGAAAAAATTTGTCCTAAATCCATTATGAATCCTCGCATTCTCTATTAGGGGTCTTGCCTTACCATTCTTAATTAGACATGGGTGTTTTTATTGGTCTGATTTGAACCACCCTTATGTCAATCTTAATGATTTAAGTACGTCAATGTTAGTGATTCAAATACAGTGTTACTATCTGATCTGATCTGTATTAGAACTCAAAGTTTCTCTTCCTTATTTTTGTTGTTTTATTGCTATGTGCGACTCACAAGGGACATTATTAAATAGGGCAAGTCCTGATACTTGTATTATATCAAAATTTATTAAACTCACGCTCTATCTGTTTATAATCATATTAGTAGGCTTTGTATTGTCTTGAATTCATACCGGTTATAGACTATATACAACAAGTTCATAGTGGCTGTCCATTTATTCTACAGATCTAATCTATTTATCATCTAAATTTAATAAAACTATGTTTTAAACGTATTAATTTCGCTAGCACTCTATAAAATTGATATCAATTGCGACTCTGGATAATTTAAGCAAATAGGACTACTCACATGGTTGAATCCTTTCCAAACACGATGGCCACATTAGAAACAACATGCGTGCATGAGGGACCCCAATGTATGATGACATACATGCCATTCTTGGAGGACCCCATTAATGAGAGGAATTAAAGAAAGCATAGTTTGACTAAGCATTAATACTTTCGGTGTGAGTTGAATATTTGTGATCACACTCCATCCTATCTGGATCATCTGGTTTTAATACGACAAACAACAAGCTGTGGGGGCCTGAAGGGAAATGAACACGCGCATGCTCATTCTGCTGCTCTTTTCTAATCTTTATTATCAGCTAACAATTATTATTTAATTTTTGAGTAATTATATTTTTGGGATGAATTTGTGTTTATTTAAATAATAAATATTACGATTAATCTTTCAAAAGTTGGATTAAAAAAAATACTAAATAAATTATATATATTTGAATATACCTATAATGCACATAATTATTCATGAACAATACAATATCCGTGGAGATTAAAATTCGTTGAAACTCATTTAATTTCAAAAGAACCAATTTGGAAAAGTCCTACACGCGTAGAGAGCATGATCTTGAAAAAAGAGTCTATAATAAACTCAAGTTTAAGCTCAAACACGAACCGGTTGATTTAACCAGACTTGCAGAGATGAGCTCAAGTTTACAAAAAATAATAAAATGTTTGAAATTAATCACAATTCCGAACCAATTCTGAAAACTCTTCCCAAACAAAGAAACTAGACCCACTTTAGCGCTCAACTTAGTTTCGATTCATTTGTATCCTAGCCAGTTTTTGGTAGATAAAAATTCATAAACATGTATAATATCCCCAACTGTTACCTAAATTCTAATCCAAATTTAAATTTGAATAAAACAAGCTAAAAACAAGCTTTAATCATATATTATAACTCATATTAAATGAAATGAGACCGAAATCTTTATTTAAATTTTCAATAATTAGATTTTACAATTTTTAAAAATCAATTAATTATATTTATCCTTATCAAATTTGAGTTGAGATAATAAAGGGGACTCAAAAGGAGTGGAGAGATTACTCAGCTAAGCTAGGATTTTGGATCATTATAAATCACCAACACCAAAATACCAACAGACCAAAAGAATGTCAACCACTTAATCCACCAACCCTAATCATGAACAGAGTGAGAAAACCAAAAAAAATATAGATTATTTTCAATATTTTTTTTTGTTTAACGGTTAGGAGATTTAAACCAGTTTACGTGCATCTCCACTAATTTTTTTTTCGATCTGATAAAAAGTAAGTCATTCACGTCGAGACTAAAAAATTTACGAAAAATAAATTTCTTATAATCCAATCCTAAGAAATTACCAAAATTCTAACCGACGATTCTTTTCAATATGTATAAATATAAAGAGTATTTCATATAGCTGCATTTCAAATTTTATGCTGCAGAAACTTGTACCCACTCCTACAAAAAACACAAAATCCGAGTCTTGGAATATTGAACTGTCTTTTTGAATTTCGAAGAACACATACAAATCATTTTCTTTCCTTTTGAACACTGAGTTCACCCGGAATGTTAAGATTAGTTAAATGAGGTGGATTAACATTTATTAGTGTTTGACATAAATTTAAATTAATATAACATGACCCGAACCAACCCGACACAATTATCATTATAATTTTGGATCATAATGATAACCAACACCAACAGACCAAAATAATGTCAACCACTTAATCCACAACCCCTAATCATGAACTAGGTAATAAAATCTAAAAATTAAGATAAATAAAGTAGATTTCCTACATTTAAACTCACAAATTTTATGCTACAGAAACTTGTACGCACCTGTGCAATTTTAACCACAAAATCCCAGTCATAGCATATGGGTAACAGCCGGAAAAGTATCATTTTTTGTTATTCAAATTTATGTCGACTATTCACTCAAACTCAGCGACAGATCAAAGTAATTTGAGCTCAACCAAAGCATGTCAAAATTACCATTTTTATGGAACATTGAAGTGTCATTTTGAAGATTGAAGAAAACACAAATTTTTTATCCTTTTGAACACTGAAATCACTGGGAATGTTACAATAATAATAATAGAAGTTCAAATCTTGAAAAAAATGTGTGCTTTGCCACTCCAACTTGAAAATCTGTCTCTCTTTTTACTCAGTTTGGAAGAGCTAATGCATTTGAAAACTTTATGCGGTGGCGGTGGACTTCCACCAGCTCAGAATGGCAAAGCAGTCATTTTTTTTTTGGTGAACATTATGGCAAAGAACTCATACAAGAGTGAAATATTACTCTTTTTTCCATTGAATAGTATTTTACAGTTAAGGCATGTGTGTTCATAATAAGTAAGTACTTATTTATTTTAGCACACACCAGACAAATTATCCACGGTTGAATGCTCCCACCATCAGTCTCAGCCTACCCCATAGAGAGAGAGAGAGATGTAAACAACAAACAAGCTGTACTACTATTGACAGAGCATGAGAGGAAAAGACAGAAGAAAAGAACATCAGTATATATATTAGAAACTCATATTTGAATTGGTTTAATGCTTTATACAATGTCAATTTCCTGCGAAGACAAAAATTCTGGAATACACTAAGAGCATAATGAAGATGTAATGAAATGTAAAAAAAAAAAAAAAAAAGAAAAGAAAACCCCCAGACATAGAATGCGGGAAGGAAGAAGAAAGGGGATTTTTTTTTTTTTTTCCAAGATAGCAAAAGACAACAATTGATCAAGATACCAATCATCTTCAGAAAAAAATTAGAAAAAAATGAAAAAGAAAGAAAAAAAACCCACACCTCTCTCATACATACCTGCAATTTTGCTAAGCATTACCTGGTAGGATTTGTTCAATAATCAGGCATTAGCTGACTAATTTTGCCCTCTTCAGCGGTCATCTTCTGCTCAGAAACTCTCAACCATATACACACAGCGGTAAAACTGAGAACCAAGCTCAAGAACCCACTTCCCAATCCGATCCCAACAATGGCCAACACCGATAACCCTTTGCTCTTCATCGGCGGCAAAGGGTACCCATAAAGATCCTTATTTCCCTCATATGAGCTCGCATTGAACCTCGGCAAAATCGCACTCCGATTCCCCAGTGACGCCGGAATCTGCCCTGATAACCTGTTATTCGACACGTCAAAAACGGAGAGACGTACCAGGAGACCCAGCTGCTGAGGAATAGGACCGGAGAGAGAATTGTCGTGAAGATCTATTACGTTTAGATAAGCGCATAGAGCGATTTCTTGAGGGATTTCGCCGGAGAGGTGGTTGGAGGAGAGGTTAAGGACGGCGAGATTGACGAGGAACTTGAGGTCGGCTGGGATGGCGCCGGAGAGAGAGTTGGAGGAGAGGTCGAGGGCTTGGAGGTTGGTGCAGTTGGAGAGGAAAGGTGAGATTGAGCCCTTGAGACCGAGGTTGGAGAGAGAAAGCTTGTAGATGCGGCCATTGTTGCAGGTGGCCCCTTGGAGGTAGGAGGTGAAGCCCTGACATGGGTCGGCGAAGGTGGCCTTGGTCCAGTTCTGGAGGTTCTTGAATGGGTCTTGTAGGGACTCACTGAGGTGGGTCAAGCATGCTTCGTCGTTTGGATCTGGAGAAGATGGTGGGATAACAGCGCACGTTAGCAGACACACCAGAATAAGGGCACTCCAAACATCCATCTAGCTGGAAGACAGACAGAGGAAGAAAGATACTGGGGGAGGGAGATTGGGTTCCCGTTTGTATATTCTTCCCCCTGCAGTGTTGTCGAGGCGCACGTTAGCAAAGGCAGGCAGAGAGCAAAGAAAGAGATGGATGGGTTCTGGTTTGTTATATAAGTTTTTGTTTATTAAGCTGATGTCCTTGAGGCTTGAGATGACAGTGAATTTGGGTTGAGGAAGTAAAAGAGAAACGGGCTATTAGTCTATTAAGCTACAGAGACAAGTTTCCAAATTTTTTTGTGCTACTCCTGTCTATCAGCAAGGCGCACGTTAGCAGGAGAGAGAGAACTGTGTTTGTGGAAATCTCTGTTTAGAGGTCCTAGATTTATTAATGCTATGGTTTTGGCCAATTGGGGAGACAGGAAAGAGAACTTTGGGGAAGAGGAGGGTGAGAGAGAGAGAGAGAGGGGGGTGCACTAACTTGGGTTTGGTGAAAATGAAAGTAGAAGTAATGTAGAGAGAGAAAGAGAGAGAGAAGGGGTGATATGCTATGGAGTAGGGGCTGGTCAGCTGCACAATTGAGGGCGTAAGATAGTGACAACACGTAATCTTGTGTCGAGGTTGTTTTGGGTATATAAGAGGATTACTCATATCTTTTTGGGTGTTTTTGACCCGAACATGAGGATTGTTGTTTGGGTCTTGGAGTCTCAATTGGTTAATCGTTATATTAGTTTAATTAAATTTGATTTTGTGAGGTATTTTAGGCATCATCAAGGCCTTACAATCTTACTGATGAGGACCTATTAGAGTAGTCATTGAACGTTATTTCTTGTCCACACCCCTTTTTCAAGTATCCAAAAAAAAAAAAAAAAAATGAGGCATTGTTGTCCATCTGTGGATTGACATAGATTTAAGTATGTATTTCCGTGAGGTGGGGGGGGGGGGTATGTTAATGCAACTTATTGTGGTCCATTATTACTGTTTTATAAAACTTGTAGGGTCTAAATAGAATTATCAAAACATAATTGCTTTTCAAGGCAAAGCATAACCCTACAATCTTATTTGGAAAGAATTTTGATGGGGCGTCTCCCTTAAAGGATTTTATTTTCTTTACTTGCCGTCATATGAGAATACATTTGGCAATTTTTTGGTGAGTCTGCAAAAGTAAGTGGGCATCTAGGAAAAGAGAACACAATTGTTGGTGGAGTTTGTCCTAATTAAATTGATTGCTTTTTCCTTCTTTTGAAGTTCCTTAGTCAAACTAAATGCCTTACTGTTTAATAATTTTGACCACATACCACTTAAAGTACTCCGTCAAAATTAATAAACTCTAATATATCCAAATTCGATAATATGCCGATGAAAAAATAAGTTTCGATGGATCAAAACTCTCTTAAAAGAGAGTCAAAGTGGTATCACTCAACCAAAATATCTTTTGTCACATAAGTTTTCAATTATATCTTTTTGACGGAGTATAATACAAACAAGTTAGTTTTCATTTCGCAATCGAATGGACGCCCTATGTCGTGGATTCGACCATGGATTCCTTAGCTGCATTTTCTGATGTAACAAGAGATCCTGTATGAGTTCTTACAAACCAACATACTGTTGGTTGCTGGTTCAATTTGGAGAGGGGGGGGGGGGGGGTGATGGGTCCTCTAGACTAAATGTTAAAACTCTCTGTTGGTTCTAAGGGCCCATGAACTTTTGTGTGGTTCGAATGAAGCTTTCCAGCTTCAATTGTGAGGCCCTCTCTGACCACGGCCCTTCCACCTCTAACTTATAATCACATGGTCCCTCAGACAAACATGATATCATCGTTCGCCTTCTCCAATAGCATCTTTGTCCAAAGTTGGTCATTTCAATACAAGTTTTTTGGGTTGGGTATATGCTAGACAAAGTATTGTATGTTTTGAGTGCGTGTGTGTGTGTGCCCGTGCACGTGTGAGATGTATAAAAACTAAAGAGAGATGACTATGACATATGCTCATTGGTCGTCGGAAGGGGGAACAGTGCTTCTCTTCGCTAAAATAAGATGTCCACAAATTGGGTCAGCCCGCATCCGCTCACAAATGGGTTCTGAAAAAATAACCTTTAGTCGTATAAGTAATAGGGTTTAAATTGTATATTATGATTTCAGAGTAGTGTTTTATTTATAAAAAATCAGCTATTGGGGTCTTACAGACCATATATATCATGGGTTTACAAGGCAGGTTGTGGGTTAAATGTCTTAACCCACAGCCCCTACCCAACCCAACCTGACAATTTCACGAGACGGTATTCTCATATCTAAACTTTGGTATAAGAAATTGGCCAAGAGGATTTTGAAAAAGGTGCTTAAAGGACGTAGAGAAGGCAATAAGAGCAGGAGATGAGTGCAAGTATACATTGTCATGGTATGCACAAATGAGTGGGCATCAATCAATTTAGGGAGCTAGTGAAAGTCGATTCACCATGGTACAGGTTAAACATTTATTATGGAGCCACCATTGACAACGACGTTGATGGTGTTGGACACTCAGCAGTACTAGTCATCCTTCTGTTGTGGGTAAAAAGTTTGATCAACAGGAGCAATAACTCCAAATCAGACATATAGTCTGATTGGCTGTGCTAGTGATCCCAAAGGGCTGTTTGGTCTCTGTTTGGTACGGAAAGTAAAAAATTAAAAGGATAGAAAAGTGTGAGAATACACTTTTTATCTTTGAAAGAAATAAAATTTTTTTTTCTCTTTTGTGTTTGATGCAATAGATGAAAAGTTGAAAGAATTAATTTTTATTATTTGGTATTGAAGAAAAAGTGAAAAAAAAGAAAAGATATATGTACTTAACTTGCCATTATACCCTTATATATATAAATAATTATTTATTATAAATAAATTTAAGGGATTCAGTGTCACTCTAATTAGTTATAAAAATAAATAAATATAAATATGTATACCAAAAATAATAGCGAACAACTCAAGGTACTCTATAAATAGACGAAATTGTAAATCTATAACGTTTTTTTAAATTTAAATTATAAATTTATTATTAATCGGTGTTTGAATCACTTATATATAATAGACCCCGCTTGAATTTATAGTACATGTTTGATTTTGAAGAGAAATGAAAAAAAAATTATTTGGCCTTTATTTCTTACAATAAAATTTTTCTTTATTGTTCAATATAAAAAAAAATTACATATGTGATTTAGAATTTTATTATAAAAAAATAATTAAATAATGTCATCAGGTGTCTTACCATGCATAAATTATATAACAATATTTTAAAATTGTGCCCTTTATACAAATGATACTTAACATGATAATTATAGAGAATATGTAATTAATAAGGGTATAAATATAAATTAACTCAATTACCTTTTGCAGCCAACAATACTCCCCCATTTTCCTTCCATATTTGAGTGGATAAAAAATTGTGGGTCCAAAGGAAACTCTTTTCTTTTCCTTTTTCTTTCCATCTACTTTTCTTTTCCCACCAAACCATAGAAAATGCTTCATTCCCTCTTATTTTTCATTCTTACCTTTCCATCCACCCGTTTTTCCCTCTTACCACACATGAATTAAGTCTCATTGTGGATGTCAAATACTAAGTGTGTGTGTCGATCCATTCTAATAGTTTAATAAAAAAAAATCCAAATTTATTTTCATATTAGTGGTAACACACAGAATTTGTATTATATGATATTGTTTGTTCCTTTGTGTTTTGGAAAGTTTTATACGATCTAAATCTCACTTAAAAGCACTCAACCCAGAGTATCTAGGCCCCCAAATTCTGCCTATTTGGGCCCAAGAGCTCGTTTTGACTTTTCTTGGTCCAAGTGATTTCTATTAGTCTCGTTGTAGGAGTAAATTTCATTTACTAATTTCAATGACATTTCTAAAATTTTATTGACACCCCCAGTATTTGTCCTAAACGAGACTAATAGAAATGGTTTTTATTTTACCTGTTTGCCCATCTCAATAGCAAATATCTACTTAACATGTATTCACCGACCACCCCTACCCTCGATCATCCTTCCTTGAGCAACGACCCATGCCTACTTGATTTTGGTGTTAATTTTGATTTGAGATTTTAACTTGTTCTCAATTCTGGCGGAGGTGAGATCTGGTCGTCGTGTGAGGGTAAAGTTGCCTAGTTGGTGGAGTTGAGAGTGGGTTGACTGGGTATGGTGGGTGCCAGTGCCAGTGGGAACAAGCAGAAGCTGAACATGGACATAAGGGATGTGATGGAAGTGTGAATAAAATTTATCATTTTATGTTTTTTTCCGTGATAACTCACCACGCTTGTAAGTCAACGTCGCATTGGATCCGGTTGCACTGAGGGATCCACAATCAATACGACCTCCACAACATGAGGGCTAATAGCTTTGATATCTATTACAATATTCAAACTCGTATTGCATGACAATGTTAGTTTTACATTAAGCTGACTTAATTTCAAATCTTGTTAAATGTTTAGATTTCACATCTACTAAAAAATCTGCCTACACTTCCTCAAAACGAAGCGAGATTGGATTACCACATATGCAGGAAGAAAGAAAAATCAACCTTTTGTAGATAGGTGGGACTGCAAACTCATGTCTAGCATGATGCAACCTTTCAAAATCAGCAGTGTGTTGGAATTGGACTCCGGTTGGATGACGCCCGACAAACCTTTTTCAGGGTCCGGCTGGATGGCGATTTACAAACTGAACTGAGACACATATAACTACTTTCCAGAATAAAGTATAGAGAGAGGAATGAATAAAAAGACTAACGTCCATACAACTCATCCGTGGTAGGTCTGCTTCAGAACAGTGAAGGTCCCCTTCAAAGCTAGCTGGATACCAAATCTTTTGCTGTTCTCTGCTTGGGCATTGTAGATTTGGCGGGTAGGCACACCAAGTTGTTCAATAATATCTTTTCACTAGACTGAGTTGAACCTTTCATTCCGACTCTGACTTCAACATAAAGCGACAAGAATTAATGGGTTTGAATTTAGTTGTACTTGGGTTGGGTTGGGTTGGGTTAAGAGGACAAA